ACTTGGGAGGCCGAGGCAGGAGAATTGCCTGAACCCAGGAGGCGGAGGTTGCGGTGAGCCGAGATCATGCCACTGCACTCCAGTCTGGGAAAAAACAACAAAACTCCGTCAAAAAAAAAAAAAAAAAAAAAACCCAAACAAAATAAATATAGTATACAAACACTGCTGTCACTTTTACACATAGAGGGAGGGGCAAAGGGTAGAGGAATAGGTTAGTTTCTGGCCTTGCCAGTGTCCTAAACTTTTCTAAAAGATTATGGGTTCAGAAAGCATTTTTAGTAAATATCATAGAAGTTTTTTTTTTTTATTTTTTTTTTTTTTTTTTTTTTTTTCTCAGAAAGTTGTTCCTCTTAGGAGAAAATCAGTCGAAGAACTTACTTAGATTTTTCATATGCTACAACAGAGTATTTTGTGTTTTCTTCTTGGTAGTTTGTCATTGATGGCTGGAAGAATAAGACTCATGAGAAGTCTTTTTTTTTTTTTTTTCCCCCCCGAGACAGAGTCTGGCTCTGTTACCCAGGCTGGAATGCAGTGGCATGATCTTGGCTCACTGCAACCTCTGCCTCCCGGGTTCAAGCAGTTCTCCTGTCGTAGCCTCCCAAGAAGCTGGGATTACAGGTGCCTGCCACCACACCTGGCTATTTTTTTTGCATTTTTAATAGAGACAGGGTTTTACCATGTTGGCCAGACTGGGCTTGATCTCCTGACGTTGTGATCTGCCTGCCTCAGCCTCCCAAAGTGCTGGCATTATAGGTGTCAACCACTGTGCTGGGCAAGAAGTCTTTTAACTCAGCTCTGTTTTACTTATGAGGCAATTGAAGCATAGAGCAGATACTTAGATAAGGACATGCTTTTACCCTTGGCTGTACCCCACTTGTTTGCTTATATAAGCATCAGGTATTATTCTAAACAATACCTAAATTTTAAATAGATTATGAACCACAACTTTCCATTATAGATTTTGGATTTCTGATACCTTACTTTTTATTTTCTTAAAATGTCTTCTTTTTTACTTTTTAAAATTTTGATTGCTACTTTTTACAGTTAAGGCATCTTCAGTGAGGCCTTCAATACTACAGTACCTAAATATAATTAGTACTTAGAACATCTAACTTGGTAAGACATTGCTCCTCCCTGACATGCTGCCAGTGTTTTTTATTTTTATGACAGGAAAGACTGAAATTTTTTGACTGATTAACCCACTCGAGGTGGGAGAATTTAGAAAGAATTATTCTTACTATCAAGTCATGTGAGGAGAACTCTGCACCAGAGTGACCGATTGTCTCGTTTTGCTTAGGATAGGAGACTTTCAGTGCCTAAAACCAGCAAAGTCACCCTAATCCCAGTAGTTATTTATATTTCTGAACGAGTCTTTAGAACAGAAGAGACTGAAAAGTTGGCATTTCATCCATTGAGAATCTCTTCCCAGTGAAAGACTTCTTATTAGACAGCTGAATGCTTACGTATAATGTATAGTACCTATTATACTAAATATAATAGTAATGGTTAAATGTAAAAGTTGGGAGAAGAGAGAGGCTTGTATAAAGAAATATTTGTGTTATTTGAAGTTCTAATCTTATACTTTTCTCTTTTTATAGAACTGATAGTGCATCAGCCGACCCAGATAATTTAAAATATTCTTCATCCAGAGATAGAGGTGGTTCTTCCTCTTATGGACTGCAACCTTCAAATTCAGCTGTGGTGTCTCGGCAAAGGCATGATGATACCAGAGTTCATGCTGACATACAGAATGACGAAAAGGGTATATATATTTTCCTATTGCTACAAGCATGTTTTTTTTTTGACCTATGTATCCTACCCTCCTGCCTTCCTACACCTCAACTTTATCACTTCTAATATGTTTAAAATATAAATAACAAATGCAGTGTTATTTCTGAAAACTTCATAGGAAGTTTATCTGTTTTATTATTTTTAAAATTTGAATTTTTTTCCCCTACATAATTCATAAATGCAGCTTTCTTACAAAAGAGATACAATACTGTTTTTGTTTTCAAAATATTCAGCTAAGGTTGACGTTCCTCCTGGCTACTGTCTCTCCTCTAAACTTCAAGGAAGTTGTTTTTTTTTTGTTTTTTGTTTTTTGTTTTGAGAAAGCGTTTCGCTCTTGTTACCCAGGCTGGAGTGCAATGGCGCGATCTCGGCTCACCGCAACCTCCGCCTCTTGGGTTCAGGCAATTCTCCTGCCTCAGCCTCCTGAGTCGCTGGGATTACAGGCACGCGCCACCATGCCCAGCTAATGTTTTGTATTTTTAGTAGAGATGGGATTTCACCATGTTGACCAGGATGGTCTTGATCTCTTGACCTTGTGATCCACCTGCCTCGGCCTCCCAAAGTGCTGGGATTACAGGCTTGAGCCACCGCGCCCTGCAGGAGGAATTTTTTAAACAAGGTGCAAAATTAGATTTAATTCAGTTTTCATTTTTCTGCTTACTTTCCAATGAAGGGATCAAAATGAAATTAGTTTAACTTCTAAAGTATATTAAAAAGAAATCAAAATGATTGCAAGGCATACAACACAGGAAAAAGGTAGGAGAAGCAAAAACTGGTTGAGTTGCAGATTGAGTGATTAGACCCTGAGCTATCAGGAATTGACTGAATGAAACAAAGAGCCATATTTAAATAACGTAAACATTGCCGTTTGTAGGTGGCTACAGTGTCAATGGAGGATCTGGGGAAAATACTTATGGTCGGAAGTCGTTGGGGCAAGAGCTGAGGGTTAACAATGTGACCAGCCCTGAGTTCACCAGTGTTCAGCATGGCAGTCGTGCTTTAGCCACCAAAGACATGAGGAAATCACAGGGTAAGCCTGGGAAAATGGGGACCAATCACATACACCTTCCAAAGACTCGTATCTCCTCTTACCCTGGATGCGTCTTACAAATGACTTTGTACAGGCATGAGTTGATTAGTTTACTGTGCAAGTCAACTACTGTGCAGTTTGACTATTCTACTCTATAGGTAAAAATTGTTTGTATTCTTTTCCTGTGAACTATTAATTTCCCATTAGAAAGGTTATAATACATTTTGAGTTATATTAAAACAGGATTAGAAGACTGGATAAGATTTTACAGAAAGGGTTTGCCCAGTTATCATGGATACTGAATGTATAGTGTATGTGGACTCTTAACTACAGCAAGTCTTGGGCCTGTAGAGGATATGGATGTATATATAGAGTTGGTACTTTTCTGTTCTTTTTTTCTTTTTCTCAAGTTCATGGTACACGTGCAGGATGTACACGTTTGTTACGTAGATAAACGTGTGCCATGGTGGTTTGCTGCACAGATCATCCCAACACCTAGGTATTAAAGCCCAGCATCCATTAGGCTATTCTTCCTGTTGCTCTCCCTCCCCCTGGCCCCCAGAGTGGACACTTTTCTGTTTGTTTTGAGATGGAATGTTACTCTGTCACGCAAGCTGCAGTGCAGTGGCGCAATCTCGGCTCACTGCAACCTCCGCCTCTGGGTTCAAGTGATTCTTCTGCCTCAGCCTCCCAAGTAGCTAGGACTACAGGCAAATGCCACCACACCTGGCTAATTTTTTATTTTTAGTAGAGATGGGGTTTCACCATGTTGGCCAGGCTGGTCTTGAACTCCTGACCTCAGGTGATCTGCCTACCTTGGCCTCCCAAAGTGGTGGGATTACAGGCGTGAGCCACCACGCCAGGCCTTTTTAAAAAAAATTTTTTTTGAGACAGATTCTAGCTCTGTTGCCCAGGCTAGAGTGCAGTGGCACAGTCTCTGCTCACTGCAACCTCCGCCTCCCAGGTTCCAGTGATTCTTATGTCTCAGCCTCTAATTTTTCATTTTTAGTAGAAACGGGGTTGTACCCTGTTGACCAGGCTGGTCATGAACTCCTAACTTCAAGTGACCTGTCTGCCTCAGTCTCTCAAAGTGCTAGGATTATAGGCATGAGCCACTGGGTCCGGCCTAGATGGGCACTTTTCTAAAGTTAAATACACTGATACCATTTCTGCTTTATAACGTAGCCTCACTGTATAGGTGAGTCCCTTGAAAGTTCAGAGGATTAGAGGTAATGATCATTTTTTTCCATAAGGAGAAATTTATCAGTAAAGCTGTGTATGAAATTCACATTTCTGACTTATGGACTTTGTCAGATGTAATTACTTTTTGGATATTTAGTTTTTGGCCAGTTTTTTTTTTTTTTTTTTTTTTTTTTAAATTTGTTTTTTGTTTTTTTTTTTTTTGGCAGTTTTTTTTTTTTTTTTTTTTTTTTTTAAACTGTGTATGTGCTCTGTGTATCTTGGTGAAAATCTTTGTGCCTGTAGCTTTTATTGTTGGTATATAACTTTTAAAAAACTGATTTCTTTTTATAAGTTTTCACAAGTGGAATGATTAATTCAAAGGCTATACTATTTCTTAATAGAGTTTTTGAAGCTTTAGACTTACAATATTATAGAAGCTAAACAGTGACTCTAAAGCTATTTTGTACAATTCCTTTTCTCCAAAGGCTCAGGGTCATGTAGTTTACTAGTGACGGAGTTGTAAATAGAGCCTAATTTCCAAGCTGGTAACTTGATGACATTTTTGGTATCTATCCTTATTGAAATACTCTGTGGGTTAGGGATTTGTAAAAGTCCTATTCTCTCATTGTTGTTTCTTTTTCCTCTTTATTTTTTTTTTTAACTTTTAAGTTCAGGGGTACCAGGACAGGTTAGTTACACAGGTAAACTTATGTCATGAGAATTTGTGGTAGAGATTATTTCATCACCCAGGTATTAAGCCTAGCACCCATTTGTTGTTTTTATTGATCCCCTTCACCCTTCAGGAGGCCCCAGTGTGTGTTGTTCCCCTTGTAGTTTTTTCTTTGTTTTTTGTTTTTTTTTTTTTTTGAGACGGATTCTTGACCTGTTGTCCAGGCTGGAATGCAATGGCAAGATCTCAGCCCACTGCAACCTCCACCTCCCGGGTTCAAGTGATTCTCCTGCCTCAGCTCCCGAGTAGCTGGGATTACAGGAGCGTGCCACCACACCTTTAGTAGAGACGGTGTTTCACCATGTTGGCCAGGCTGGTCTTGAGCTCCTGATCTCATGATCCTCCTGCCTTGGTTTCCCAAAGTGCTGGGATTACAGGCATGAGCCCGGTAGCGGGCCTTGTAGTTTATTATAATTTTTTCTCACACCTTAGAAATGAAACTGTCAGACTCTTTGTGATTTGTTGTTTATATACATATTGGCTAATTATGGTAAATAGCACAGTTGAAAACATTTTGTAAAGATTTAGTTCATTTTTTTTTTGTGAGACAGAGTCTCGCTCTGTCACCCAGGCTGTCATGTGGTATAGTGTGATTTCACTGCAACCTTTGCTTCCCCGGCTAAAGCAGTCCTCGCACCTCAGCCTCCCAAGTAGCTGGCATTACAGGCATACAGGCATGTGCCGCTATGCCCCGCTAATCTCTGTATTTTTTGTAGAGATGGGGTTTTACCATGTGCCCACGCTGGTCTCAAACTTCTAGGCTCAAGTTATCTGTCTGCCTTGGCCTCCCAAAATGCTGGAATTACAGGCAAGAGCCACCTTGCCCAGCAAAAATTTAATTTTTAAAGGCATCTTTAATGTACTAATAGTATTCACTATGTTTGCTTGTTTTTGTGATTAAAAAATAAAGGGGAGAAAAGTTGTGGTTTGCTACTTTTCTAGTGGAGGCATACCTTGCATGTGGTAAATGATAATTAGACATTCATTGAACTAAATATGTGATTGTGGCTTCCTAAAACTTCATCCCAGAGAAATGATGGTAATGTGAATAAGACGCTTTCCTCCAGTGGGATACCTAAGTGATAAGTAGAAGCTTGTATCCTGTTTTTACCTGATTGAGACTTTATCTGTATGCCGTGGAAGTTATTTAATTTACCTATACCCAGGCTCTTTACCTGAATGTTGAAAACAGTTTGGAATGACTAGAAGAAAGTTGTTCTTAAGCCTTTCTTTTTTCTCTCTCAGCCTGTCCTGTTGAATGAGCTGTTCCGTTGGCCTAGGGCGATTCATTTTTTACATCCTTCAGCGAATATTTTTTTGAGGGTCTGTTATGTGCCAGGCACTCTGCTGGGACTTAGTATATAGAGAGGAACAAAAGAGTGATAGGACCTATATTCCCTGAGCTTTTATTGACTAGTAAACTATGACTTTGATGTAATTTTATTTGTGAGAGAGAGTCCTGCTGTGTCACCCAGGCTGGAGTGCAGTGGGGTGATCTCGGCTCACTAGCTTCTACCTCATGGGCTCAAGTGATTCTTCTGTGTCAATCTCCTGAGTAGCTGGGAATACAGGTGCACACCACCTTGCCTGGCTAATTTGTGTATTTTTTTTGTAATGTCTGTGGAGATAGGGTTTGGCTATGTTGCCCAGGCTGGTCTCAGACTCCTGAACTCAGGTGATGTACCCTCCTCCCAAAGTGCTGGGATTACAAGTGTGAGCCACCATGCCCTGCCTGATGTAATTTAAAAAATTTGAAAACTTCTATGCTTGTTTATACTCAGTGGACAACAAAATGTTTATTCACAGAGCGATCGATGTCTTACTCTGATGAGTCTCGACTGTCGAATCTTCTTCGGAGGATCACCCGGGAAGACGACAGAGACCGAAGACTGGCTACTGTAAAGCAGTTGAAAGAATTTATTCAGCAACCAGAAAATAAGCTGGTAAGTGTAGTATATTTGGAAATAATGAAGATTTTTGTGTTTCCATAATAAAGTAGATAGTGCCACCTCAAATAGCTTAAGAAGGGGGAAAACCTGTATTATGATGATCTAGAATTTCGTGTTAATACTAATTTTTTTTTTTTTTTTTTTGAGACGGAGTTTCGCTCTTGTTGCCCAGGCTGGAGTGCAATGGCGCGATCTCGGCTCACCGCAACCTCCGCCTCCTGGGTTCAGGCAATTCTCCTGCCTCAGCCTCCTGAGTCGCTGGGATTACAGGCACGCGCCACCATGCCCAGCTAATTTTTTGTATTTTTAGTAGAGACGGGGTTTCACCATGTTGACCAGGGTGGTCTCGATCTCTTGACCTCGTGATCCACCCGCCTCGGCCTCCCAAAGTGCTGGGATTACAGGCTTGAGCCACCGCGCCCGGCCTAATTTTTTTTTTAAGACAAGGTTTTGCCCTGTCACCCAGGCTGGAGTGTAGTGGCACAATTATAGCTCACTGCAGTCTCAAACTCCTGGATTTGAGCTATCCTCCCACTGTAGCCTCCTGAGTAGCTGGGACTTCAGGCATGCACCACTATGCCTGGCTGAGATGGAAGAATCTCTTTAGCCCAGGAGTTTAGTGTTGCAGTGAGATATGATCACACCTCTGCATGTCAGCCTGGGCAACAGAGGAGTCCTTGTCTCTTAAAACAGCAACAGAAACACAACAAAGTGTAGGAAGGGTTACAATTTTTTCTCCACTTTATATACTTCAGTTTTAAGAACTTGATATGGGCCAGGTGCGGTGGCTCATGCATTTAATCCCAGAACTTTGGGAGGCCAAGGTGGGTGGATCACGAGGTCAGGAATTTGACACCAGCCTGTCTAACATGGTGAAACCTAGTCTCTACTAAAAATACAAAATTAGCTGGATGTGGTGGCGCATGCCTGTAATCCCAGCTACTTGGGAGGCTGAGGCAGGTGAATTGCTTGAACCTGGAAGGTGGAGTTTGCAGTGAGCCAAGATCATGCCATTTGCATTCCAGTCTGGACAAAAAGAGTGAAACTCCATCTAAAAAATGGGGAAAAAAACAAATGCACTTGATATGGAGTAGGAGAAAATTAATGAAAATGGTCTAGTGAGGCAGATGACATTTGGATCAAAGCAAGTTTCTCCTTCTTCCAAATTTTATTATGAGAAGTTTCAAATATATAGCAAGTTGAAAGAGTTTGACATTGAATCTGTTATACCCATCATCTAATTTTTGTCATTAACATTTTACCCTAAATACTGCTTTGTCACATATCTCTCCATGTATCCCTCCATCATCAATCAGTTTTTCAAATGTATTTCAGAGTAAGTAAAACAAGGGTTTTGAGTTTATTTTTTTGTTGATGATCATAACTCAGTGTTTCCAATGGGTGAATTTCTTTCACAGTCTGAAAGGAAACATGGCATTCCTGATACATGCTCATGGGGACTGGGAATAATAAGGAAACTCAAGTGCTGTTGAATTAAAATTTGGAAAGACGACAAGTTAAAAAGTACATAATGCTATTCTTAAAATTATAGGAATTTGAAGTGTTTATAAATAAATGTGTTTTCTTTTAAAGGTACTAGTTAAACAATTGGATAATATCTTGGCTGCTATACATGATGTGCTTAATGAAAGGTAAGTAACTAATAATGGTTCAGTTTAAATGACTTTATATTTTTAGAAATTACTTAAAAATACACAAGAAGACAAACTCATTGGCTTTATTTATGGACATCTATTGATTTCAGTAGGTCCTCTTGTCATTTCTGTCTGTATTATATATATGTTAATTACCATTGGATACAAATGGAATGCATTTGAAAAGGAATACTTCGTGTGTGTATGTGTGTGTGTATGTATATATGTATGTACGTATGTATGTGTGTATGTATTTTTTGAGTTGGAGTCTGACTCTGTTGACCAGGCTGGAGTACAGTGGTGTGATCTCAGCTTACCACAACCTCTGCCTTCTGGGTTCAGGCAATTCTCCTGCCTCAGCCTCCCGAGTAGCTGGGACTACAGGTGCACACCACCACTCCTGGCTAATTTTTGATAGGGTTTCACCATGTTGGCCAGGCCGGTCTCAAACTCCTGACCTGAGTTGATCCACCCGCCTCTGCATCCCAAAATGCTGAGATTACAAGGGTGAGCCACCATGCCCGGCAGGAATACTTTATATGATTAATTTGCTAGTCTCACGGGTAATTGAGCACTTACTTGTGGAATGGCATAAATTCTTGATGCAGGCGTGAACGAATACAATTAGTTTTTGTAAACCAGAGAATTTGAAATTGCTTAGAGAATAGAGGTGAAAAGGAGCATCCTTCTTTGGGTAAGAGTGGATCCAAACCATCTATTCCCTGGTTACTGGAGTCTCCAGTCATTTTTTGTTAAGGTGATTCCCAAAGAATTGCAGTATTGGCAAGCATCTCAGCTTGTCATAAACCTGAGTGCTTTTTGATGATTTTATTTTATAGAGTTACTTATTAAAGTTATATGTAAATCATTCCTGTTATCCTTTTAAGTTGCTGTATTTGCCTAGTACCATTTTTTATTTTATAGTCATTACATATTAAATATTATATAGAATGTAGTTATGTGTAGTGTGTTTTATCCAATCATATGTTGCTGCCCTTTTCTGAGAGTTAATATAGTTTGTGATGGAATTTAGCATTTGGGGGCCTTCCCTCACTGTAAATAATTGATTTTGTAAAAAGAAAGTCTAATGTCAGACAGATACTTTTTGGCAATGCAGGCTAGACAGAACATAATATTTAGAGTGGAGAAAATTTCCACCTCTTACATAGTTTGAATAGAAATTTTAAAAACCATTTAAGACTTTATTTATTTATTTATTTATTTATTTTAAAGATGGGGTTTCACCATGATAGCCAGGCTGGTCTTGAACTCCTGGCCTCAGGTGATCCACCCACCTCGGCCTCCTAAAGTGGTAGGTTACAGGCATGAGCCATCACCACGCCTGGCCCTAAGACATTCTTTATAACATGTGTCACTCATGTCCTCATAGAAAACTTAAGTCTTTTGTGTTTGTTTTTTGTTTGCATTAAAATAAACAGTAGCAAATTGCTTCAGGAGTTGAGACAGGAGGGAGCTTGCTGTCTTGGCCTTCTTTGTGCTTCTCTGAGCTATGAGGCTGAGAAGATCTTCAAGTGGATTTTTAGCAAATTTAGCTCATCTGCAAAAGATGAAGTTAAACTCCTCTACTTATGTGCCACCTACAAAGCACTAGAGACTGTAGGAGAAAAGAAAGCCTTTTCATCTGTAATGCAGGTAAGAATGAAGGGCGAAAAATGCATAATGTGCTTGGGAAGAAAATTGTCCCATAACACATGTCCTTGGAGGGGAGCTTGAAGAAGGGAAACATAGAATTGGGATTACCTACTGATAGGAAATATGTCTTAGAAATTCCTCTTTCTCATTTTGAGTAAAGGCTATACCTTGAAGTTAGATTTGAAATGTTAGTTTTGAGATTTTTTTCTGTTTTGTTTTTAGAAATGTTTTTTGAGGTTGTCCAGGACGAGAATGATTTGCAAATTTGGAAATAGGAACTCCACTAGGAATGCTGGATAGAAGAATGCTTCACATTTGTTGAGAGAGACGAACTAAATATCACAATTCCTTTCTGAGCCTTTTGGTTTGATAATGTGCCCCAAATTCTTATTCCAAATAGCATAAGACAATTATGTGTAAATGAATACTAGCTCTCATTAGTTTTATTTCACATTTGTGTATCTGAATATATTTAAAAAATCATTCTTTTTATTTTTTATTTTATTTTTTTTGATATGGAGTCTCGCTCTGTCATCCAGGCTGGAGGGCGATGACGTGATCTTGGCTCACTGCAACCTCTGCCTTCCCGGTTCAAGCGATTCTCCTGCCTCAGCCTCCTGTGTAGCTGGGATTACAGGTGCCCACCACCACGGCTGGCTAATTTTTGTATTTTTACTAGCGGCAGAGTTTCACCATGTTGGCCAGGATAGTCTCAAACCCCTGACCTCAAATGATCCATCCACCTCAGCCTCACAAAGTGCTGGGATTACAGGCATGAGCCACTGCACCCAGCCTAAAATGATGGCTTTCTGATTCTAGCATTTCTTTTATAAGATTGCTATGTAAAGCAGAGCTTTTCCTTTTTAGGGAAAAGTGTTTTTTAACAGTTGCAAAATATTCTGTCAATGGAATGCCATATAATTATTTATTATTTTATTTTATTTTTGCCATATATGTATTTTAAAAATTTATGTATAATGGTAACATGAGCCTGCATGTTATTCATGTGTGGTGCCATACTTCTTTAATTCTAATTTGAAGCAAGTGCTAATATACTAAAGTATAAATTATATAAAATTTGCTTTATATTTTAGTTTGGAAAGTAGTTGTTACATTTCATAGAAAAGTTTCCCAAGTCCATTTTACTTTTTTACTTGAAATTTAATCACAGGTAGAGTCTTAAAGAGAGCGTTTGACATAATGTAAACAGATGTTATTAAGGACTAATATTAACTGATGTTCAAGGACTAATATTAACAAACATTAAAGAAGAGAAAACAGAATTTCATTTTAGCCTAACATCTTAGTGGAGTGAAATATTTTCAATTTATTTTTTATATGTATTTATTTATTTATATTTGAGATGGAGTCTCGCTCTGTTGTCCAGGCTGGAGTGCAGTGGCACGATCTCAGCTTACTGCAACCTCCGCCTCCTGGGTTCAAGCGATTCTCATGCTTCAGCCTCCCAAGTTGCTGCGATTGCAAGTCAATTTTTTTTGAACTAAAACTAATCAGAATCTATTTTTCTTGGTCATATACTCAGTTGTTCACAGTCACTTCATAAAAATGAATCTAATTTGCTTGTTTTCTCCCTATTTTGTAGAATATTCACAGTTTGTAACTTTTATTTTTAAGCTTGTAATGACCAGCCTGCAGTCTATTCTTGAAAATGTGGATACACCAGAATTGCTTTGCAAATGTGTTAAGTGCATTCTTTTGGTGGCTCGATGTTACCCTCATATTTTCAGCACTAATTTTAGGGTGAGTTCCTCACTCCCTTGTTCAGATCATGGGGTAAGGGGGATGATTGCGTGTGTGAGAAACTGGGGAATCAGTTGGAAAACAGTGCCTCTATTCCTTTGAATATAATCAGTGATATTTGAGGGTCCAGGGTTGAATGCTGCATTTTTATTAAAAAATGTCATCTGCATTTTTCTTTCTGATGTTTATACTTAAAATATTTAATGAAAATAAACTATTTCATTGTTGTCAGAAATGTACTTCTTTTATTTTCCTGCCCCCTCTCCCCTTTCCAAGTTTCTAGAATGTCAAGTAAGTAGAACAGAGATGCTTCTTTTAAGATCTTTTGCTGTGAAATGGTCCACAGGTGAATGGCAGTAATATCTTAAAATGATTGGCCCCCTCTCTCTTTGTTTCCATCAAGGATACAGTTGATATATTAGTTGGATGGCATATAGATCATACTCAGAAACCTTCGCTCACACAACAGGTGTCTGGTAAGTCTTGGAGCCTATACCAGTCATTTAAATACTGTTGGGGAGGAGCATTGATCCCCTAGTGATCACGTGTCAATACCATTTCTTTAATGATCCAAGAAAATTAATTGCTTCAGAGAAATGTTTTATTGTAAATGCACATTATTTGTTAGCTAAATATATCTTGTTTTTTGAGACGGAGTCTTGCTCTGCTGCCAGGCTGGAGTGCAGTGGCGCTATCTCGGCTCACTGTAACCTCTGCCCTCTGGGTTCAAGCGATTCTCCTGCCTCAGCCTCCGGAGTCAGCCTCCGGAGTACCTGGGACTACAGGCACGTGCCACCATGCTCAGCTAATTTTTGTATTTTTAGTAGAGACGGGATTTCACCATGTTGGCCAGGATGGTCTCGATCTCTTGACCTTGTGATCCACCTGCCTCACCCTCCCATAGTGCTGGGATTGCAGGCATGAGCCACTGCGCCCGGCCCTAAATATATTTTTTCAGAGGAAATTAGTAGTAGATGGAGAGAGTAAGTACACATAGAAGTTACCCAAGTTATTTGTAGTTTGTACTGGTAGGAAAATATATGGTAAGAGTATATGGTAGTGGCAATACCCTGAAGTGGACAATGGAAGATCCTACTTATTTTACTTTTTGTTGTTTCTCTGGCTATTTTTTTTTTTTAAAGTGAAATACAGGAGTAATTTGGAGAATTGTCACAAATGAGAAATGATGTTTTTTCCATTTTTTTTTTTTTGGAGTTAAGTGAATGACTAGCATGCCTCATTTGCACATTTCAGCTTGTTTCAAGTGTCATAGTTTCTCATAACTTACTTGGTGCCATAAACTTTTGAAAATAGGGTATTCAGGTGATAGTGGTATGTTTCATTTTCACTGAGGAGGTGAGTAGACACCTTTGATGATTAGATGTGGACCTGGGATTAGCAAGGCCAATGGTAGATTGTGGCATTTTAGTCTTTTTTTTTGTTTTTTTTTTGGTTTGTTTTGAGACTGGGTCTTACTCTGTCACCAGGCTAGAGTGCAGTGGCGTGATCTTGGCTCACTACAACCTCAGCCTTCTGGGTTCAAGTGATTCTCCCGCCTTAGCCTCTGGAGTAGCTGGGATTACCGGCGCGTACCACCACACAAAGCTAATTTTTGTAATTTTTATAGAGATGGGGTTTCGCCATGTTGGCTAGGATGGTCTCCATCTCTTGACCTTGTGATCTGCCCACCTCGGCCTCTCAAAGTGCTGGGATTACAGGCCTGAGCCACCATGCCTGGCCCAGCGTTTTAGTCTTAAGTCATGTGTAGTGACAATATAGTTAAGAAATGTACTGAAAAAGTAAGGAAATAATGTTTACATGTTAATTTTTTGCAGCATTAAAGAGGTATTGGTTAATCATGATCAGCATGTTTAACAGTCTTAATTTTATGATATAGGATGTGTTTTAGGATATGCTGCTTGAAAACTAGGTACCTCGTAAGGCTCTGATATATTTTTATTTTGAAATTTTTTCCCCCATCCTCTTTCATAATTTCTTACACGATTCCAAGGGTGGTTGCAGAGTTTGGAGCCATTTTGGGTAGCTGATCTTGCATTTTCTACCACTCTTCTTGGTCAGTTTCTAGAAGACATGGAAGCATATGCTGAGGTGAGTATACAGAATGCTGTTTCTTAAAATTTCTGTTAAGAAAAAATAAAAATCTTAAATTGTGCTAGGTTTAAGATAGTTCCAACCTTCTGACATTTAAGCAGATGTTACAAGCTCATTCCATATATTTTAAACATATTTTTCTCAGATGTTTTTAAGTTACTGGGAGAATTACTGGAAAGACTAAAAGAAATATTGCAAGTTTCGTATTTCACAAAGCTTTACAAACTCTTGGTAGCTGGTATTTTTTCTAAAGACATTGTCTGCTGTTTATTTTTTCTTCCCAGAAGAGTCTTAAAGCAAATTGATGTACACACACACACACACACACACACACACACACACACCCCCCCAAAAGACCCTAAAGACCTTGCTCTTACATACGTACAGAAAATCTTGAATGGAGGACAAGCCTTGGCTTCAGCCTGCTTTTGCAGCTGTCCCAGTATAGCATAGGAGCTTTAAGAGTGCTGCGGAAACCCTTGTTACTGGTACTTGGCTTTTCTGGCCCCACTGTTGTGGCTTAACTCTGTGCCATCTCTTATCTGAATCGCTTTGTGTTTCTCCCCTATTCAGATCAACCAATCAAGGCTCCTATAAGATTTAGTGTCATCTTGTTTTTTTCATCTTCGCTACTTATCGTCAACAGGAATTCAGTACCTTTAGCTGTACTGATAGGTTTACTCTTTCCTAGAAAAGCAAGGAAATGTTTTGCATCTGCATTTATTTCTTTGCCTTCACACCTAGAACGTCTTTTTTCATAGCTTACCTTTAAAGCGGATCTACCTTTCAGAAGCCACACATTCTGGTTTGCAGAGATGCTTCCCCTTGTTATCCTTAAGTCTCATTTTCTTCTTTTATTTTGGTGCCTAATGTTAGGTAGATATATATATATATTGGTTCTAGTGTCCCATTTTTTGCGACTCTTGTCCTTTTTGTATATATACTTCCTCAATTACAAATCTGTAGGCCAGGTCTTATGACCTCCCTTTGCTCTACATGTGCATGTGCTTAGTTTGGAGGACTTACTGTTGAGCTGAGTGGCTCAGGGAATACCCAGAATGAGATTTTTAGCAGAAAACTAATTGAGGAATGGCAAAGGGTTCTCGCTTCATTGATACCTATATATAACGAGAGCATATGTACTAGAATTTATTTTTCCCCAACAGCTTTCTGAGTTGGTATGTGAGATTATTTCCTTAATCTATTGTCTATTGGGTTTAATGTTGGCTTTTTGAAATAATTAGGTAAAACCCATTTTTATATTTAGAGCCGTGAATATTTTCATGGACCATACAATTCCTCTTTCTAAAAATCTATTCTAAAATGAATTGATTTAAATATTTGAGAGTTTTTTTTTTAAAAAAAAAAACAACTATGCACTACTTAAGAATGCTGTGAATTCACATCTAGGACCTCAGCCATGTAGCCTCTGGGGAATCAGTGGATGAAGACGTCCCTCCTCCATCAGTGTCATTACCAAAACTGGCTGCACTTCTCCGGGTATTTAGTACTGTGGTGAGGAGCATTGGAGAACGCTTCAGCCCAATTCGGGGTCCTCCAATTACTGAGGCATATGTAACAGATGTAAGTGCTTTTAGGCGTTTCAAGTGTCATTAAAAAAAAAAAAATTGTTTTGCATTGTAAATGCTTCTCTTTACCTAGTAAACTGTTGTTAATCCTTCATTTGTTTAGCATGTGTCTATGTATGTATATATGTATATACCGTCTGATTGCTTTCTTAAATAGCCAGAAAAGGAATCCTATTGTATCTCATCCTCCTTTCATCCAACTCCCCTACTCTCCCATGACAAAAGGCCACTCTGAATTTTTAAATCTTATTCTTTTGTTTTAAAATAATATTTATTATAATTTTACTTTTAAATTGCTGGGTTTTCTTTTAGTTTTTCAACATACTACGAATAGCACACTGTAGGAAAAGCCTCAGAAAGTAATCTCTGAGCATAAGATGGAACTCCTATGAAAACTTTTATATCTTTGTATTCTTTGATAGCCTGGTATCAAAGAACATAAACAAATTAAAAACAAGGTAGTTAGATTGCCACACTTCAGCAGCCTCAAACATTAGCTGCATGGTAGCACATCCAGTGAGGGTTCAGTGGAAAAGACAGGAGAAATGAACCCCAGGCATTGTACTCTGCCTTGAATAAGGAGAGAGAAGCATGTGTGTTGCGGTCATAAAAGATTTAATCTAACTAATTGAAATTTTACTGTTAGGAATAAAACTCGCTTTTAGGAGCATATACTTTTGCTGAACATATTGCTAGATAAAATAGGATATTGAGTATATAGTTACATAAAATGTTTAGTAAGTTATGTATTCGAGCAGAAATGTCAGATCTTAAATGAAACCAGTATATTGGTATTTTAAACGAATATGGTTTCAAAATGGTTTAATATCTTTGCTTCATTTTTAATATCTAAAGGTGTTTCAAGACAGCAGAGTTGAAATAAAAAGCCATTAACTTAAGTGTAAAATAAAAGGGACGTAATTTATAGGATAGGTGTATATGAGGATCTTTTAGACCTTTGAGAATGGTAGAATGGTGGGTTTTTTTTTTTTTTTTGGGTGCTAGGGCCTTACTCTGTGATCCAGGCTGGAGTGTAGTGGTGCAATGATAGCTCGTTGTAGTCTTGAACTCCTGGGCCCCAGTGAGCCTCCCACCTTACTCAGCCCTGCGAGTGCCACCATATCCAGCTTTTATTTCTTTCTTTTTAAAGTGGAGTGGTGTAATCACAACTCAATGCATCCTCTGCCTCCTGTGCTCAAGTGATACTCCCACCCCAGCCTCTCAAGTATTTGGGACTACAGGTGCATGCCACCATGCCCAACTAAGTTAAAAAAATTTTGGTAGAGATGAGGTGTTGTTATGTTGACTTGGCTGGTCTCAAACTCTTAGATTCAAGCGAACGTCCCAGCTAATCCTCTCAAGGTGCTAGGATGATAGGCATGAGTCACTGTGCCCAGCCTCAAAGGATGCTTTTGCCGGGGGTGGTGGCTCACACCTGTAATCCTAGCACTTTGGGAGGCCGAGGTGGGTGAATCACCTGAGGTCAGGAGTTCAAGCCTGGCCATCATGGTGAAACCCCGTCTTTAAAAAAAAATAGGGGGAAGAAAAAAGGATGCTTTTAATGAAAACTATGGGTAGACTAAATAAAATCCTGTATGTATTGGTTGTTAAATATTGTAGAAATAGTTTTTAGCATTTATTTGCTCTGTGTTTTTCCCCTATTTTATTAGAAATATAGTACACAATTAATGGCCATTATAGTTTAGTGGGGGATTTTGTTTGTGTGTGTATTGGAAATAATACGATTTTTGAAGATATTATGTGGTAACCATGACAATACTTATCTTTCAAAAGAGACCATCAGCAGATAGAAACTTTAATAAGCTTAAGGCGACTTATATGTACAGTTTCAAAAGATTGATTCCCAAAAGCCCAAGAGCCAGCTTGTAGTATGTGTGGGCAGGCTATTCCCTTGCTGTCAGTACTGTTACTGTCATGGTGTATTTCATGATAAAGATTCTGAGCTTCAGCCATTTAGTGATATTGGGGGAAATGAAGTAGGTATATGGGAAATAGAGGATGGCAGATTCTGTTTCCTTTCATAATAGCACTTTAGGATTTTTTATTCAAGATCATGTTTACATACTGTACTAAAGCTATTGTTATTATTCAACTACTGAGAACTAGAATATTAAGAGACTGCTAGCAAGGCAAGTAGTTAATTTTCAATTGAAATTGCATTAAATAGAAAGTATTTTCTTGCTTTGTGGAAGCATGTGAAGTTTTTTAAAAAGCTGCTTGTTTTCCCCATTTACAGGTTCTGTACAGAGTAATGAGATGTGTGAAGGCTGCAAACCAGGTGTTTTTTTCTGAGGCTGTGTTGACAGCTGCTAATGAATGTGTTGGTGTTTTGCTCGGCAGCTTGGATCCTAGCATGACTATACATTGTGAGATGGTCATTACATATGGATTAGACCAACTGGAGAACTGCCAGACTTGTGGTACCGATTATATCATCTCAGTATTGAATTTACTCACACTGGTATGTGAATTATTCCTTTTTAATGTGTTGGTTTATCCAGGCTCTTAAATTGATGTGTAAGAAATTAAGGGCTTTGGCTGGGTATGATGACTCACACTTGTAATCCCAGCACTTTGGGAGGCCAAAGCAGAAAGATTGCTTGCATCCAGGAATTCTGGCACAGCCTGGATAACATAGTGAGACCCCATCTCTACAAAAAAATAAAAAATTAGCTGGGGTGTAGTGGCATGCACTTACAGTGTTAGCTCTACCTGGGAGGTTGAGGCGGGAAGATTGATTAAGCCCAAGAACTTGAGGCTGAAGTGAGCTCTGATTGTGTCACTGTACTTAGCCAAGATGACAAAAAAGGCCCTGTTGCCAAAAAAGAAAAAAATTAAAGTCTTTGTTTTATTATATTATTTTTTAGTGTACATTCTTCATCATTATAATCCAGCATGCTTTCATTTTAGTGTCTGCTTTTATTTATTTTATTTATTTTTTGAGACAGAGTCTCACTCTGTCACCCAGGCTAGAGTGCAATGGTGGTGTTGGCTCACTGCAACCTCCGCCTCCCGGGATCAAGCAATTCTTACTGCTTGGCCTCCCGAGTAGCTGGAATTACAGGCTCATGCCACCACACCTGACTAAGTTTTGTATTTTTAGTAGAGATGGGGTTTCACTGTGTTGGCCAGGCTGGTCTCAAACTCCTGCCTGCCATGGCCTCCCAAAGTGCTGGCATTATAGGTGTGAGCCACCATACCTGGTCTATTTACTTCTATTTTAATTTTTTTTCTCTTCTTCTCTTTGTGTCTCTCTCTGTCTCTCTCTCTTTTTTTTTTTTTTGAGTTGAAGTCTTGCTTGGCTGTCCAGGCCTGGAGTGCAGTGGCTCGATCTAGGCTCACTGCAACCTCTGCCCCCCAGATTCCAGCTGTTCTCCTACCTCAGCCTCCCAAGTAGCTGGGACTACAGGCACCTGCTACTTTGCCCAGCTAATTTTTGTATTTTTTAGTAGAGGTGGGGTTTTACCATATTGGCCAGGCTGGTCTTGAATTCCTGAACTCGTGATCCACCTGCTTTGGCCTCCCAAAGTGCTAGGATTACAGGTGTGAGCCACCGTGCCGGACTTTACTTTTAATTAAAAATTTTTTGAGACAGAGTCTCACTGTGTTGCACAGGATGAAGTGCAGTGGCATGATTTTAGCTTACTGCAGCCTCAACCTGTTGAGTTCAGATGATCCTCCCACCCCAGCCTCCCAGGTAGCTAGAACTACAGGTGCGCACCATGACGCCTGGCTAAATTTTTGTGTTATTTTGTAGAGATGGGGTTTTGCCATGTTGCCCAGGCTGGCCTCGAATTCTTGGGCTCAGGCAGTCTACCTGCCTTGACCTCCCAAAGTACTGGGATTATAGGCTTGAGCCCCTCTGCCAGGCCTCTACTTTTAGTGATTGATAGCTAGTCTCAGTGTATCTTTACTCATTTGTGTGTGTGTGTGTGTGTGTGTGTGTGTGTGTTTTTTTTTTTTTTTTTTGATACAGAGTCTCAATTTGTCCCTCAGGCTGGAGTGCAGTGGTCCGATCTCAGCTCACTGCAACCTCTGCCTCCTGGGTTTAAGCAGTTCTCTGCCTCAGCCTTCTGATTAGCTGGGACTGTAGGCATGTGCCACCATACCCGGCTAATTTTTGTATTTTTAGTAGAGATGAGGTGTCACCATCTTGGCCAGGCTTGTCTTGAACTCCTGACCTCATGATGCACCCACTTTGGCTTCCCAAAGTGCTGGGATTATAGATGTGAGCCACCACGCCTGGCCACTTGTTTTTGCTTTTTTCCGATGAAACATTACTCTATGCCCTAGATTCTTAGATTCTTTCTTTTTTTCTTCTCTCTCTCTCTCTCTCTCTTTTTTTTTTTTCCTTGAGACAGGATCTTGCTGTATTGCCCTGGCTGAAGTACAGTGGTGTAATCAGAGCTCACTGCAGCCTCAAACTCCTGATCACTCAAGCAATCCTCCCACCTCAGCCACCTGACTATCTGGGACTGCAGATGCATGCCACCTAGCCTGGCTAGCCTTTGTATTTTTTGTAGAGAAGGGGTCTCACTGCATTGTCCAGGCTGGCTTCAAATTCCTGACCTCAAGCAATCTTCCTGCCTTGGCCTCCCAAAGTGCTGGGATTACAGGTGTGAGCCATCATGCCTGGACTTCTTTAATTTCTTAACCATAAATCTCCCCTCTCCCTCACTTTTTTTTTTTTTTTTTTTGAGGCGGAGTTTCGCTCTTGTTACCCAGACTGGAGTGCAATGGCGCAATCTCGGCTCACCGCAACCTCCGCCTCCTGGGTTCAGGCAATTCTCCTGCCTCAGCCTCCTGAGTAGCTGGGATTACAGGCATGCACCACCATGCCCAGCTAATTTTTTGTATTTTTAGTAGAGACGGGGTTTCACCGTGTTGACTAGGATGGTCTCGATCTCTTGACCTCGTGATCCACCCGCCTCGGCCTCCCAAAGTGCTGGGATTACAGGCTTCAGCCACCGCGCCCGGCCTGTCTCCCCCACTTTTATTATGGACATTCTGATGCACATAAAAATAGGGAAAATAGTATAATAAATGTGTACATGTTTAATACTCAACTTCTGTGATTAGAAACAAATGGTCCATCTGGTTTCATCTAGGCCTCTTTGCTGTCTTTTCATCTCCATCTGGATTATTTTAAAGCAAATTCTAGATGACATTCTGCTGGGCATTTCTGCCTGAGTTACCCTTCCCTTTCTAATGTGAAAAAATGCCCATGTTAACTGTAAAATAACATGTGTCCTCTTTAGGTGTCTAAACATTTTAATTTCACAGTGTTAAGGCCTTAAAATATACCTTAGATATATATTTTTTCTAAATTAAAAGACTTTTTTTTTAAAGGTATACAGAAAATTAAGCAGAAAACAATGAGTTTCCATATACCGTCTTCACCCCAACAGTTTCCACATAAACATAATTGTGTTAGTGTGGTACATTTGTTGCAAAGGAGCGAATATTTATACATTATTATTATTGACTAATTTTATAGTTTACCCCAGGGTTCACTTTATGTTATGTATTCTACGGACTTTTAACAAAATGTATAATGACATGTATCCACTATTACCGTGTTAGGATAGTTTCACTTCCCTAAAAATCTTTTGCACTCCATCCACTCATTGTTTGGTCCCTCTCCCCACTCCTCCCTCCCTCCACCCTAAGCCCATGGTAACCCCTGATCTTTTTACTGTCTTCATGGTTTTCCCTTTTCCAGAATGCCATGTAGTTGGAGCCATATAGTATGTAGCCTTTTCATTTGGCTTCTTCCACTTAATATTGTGCATTTAAGGTTTCTCCATGCCTTTTTGTAATTTGAGAAGCTCATTTTAAAAAAATTTTATTCTTTTAGATTGTTGAACAGATAAATACAAAACTACCATCATCATTTGTAGAAAAACTGTTTATACCATCATCTAAACTACTATTTTTGCGTTATCATAAAGAAAAAGAGGTAAGTAATACATTGATAATAAATTTTGTCAGCTTGAGTCACTGAAGAGTTGGACCTAATGTTGCTTACAAGGCTACATAAGTGAAATTGAGTGAAATGAGAAATGTTAGATTTAGAATATGGTGATTGTATTTGTTCTTTTAAGTTTATGTTTTTTGGTAATCATACTGAATACTTTGATGAATGATGTGCCTGATATTCTTCAGACTATGCATCTTTTGCTGTTATTTGTCAAATTTTCATAAGGGTAAAACAAGCTGATACATTTATAAAGTTGCAAATTAAGAAGTACTGTGCATTTTGTAAACAAAAAGACTGGCTTTTCAACCACCCCCAGTCACCTCCACCACAGACTTTTCTGGTAGATTTAAAAAAAAAAAAAAAAAAAACCAAAAAAAAAAAAAAACAAACTTTTTTTTTCCCCCCCGTAAGACGGGATTTCACCATGTTGGTCACTCTGGTCTCGAACTCCTGACCTCAGGTGATCTACCCACGTCAGCCCCTCAAAGTGCTGGGATTACAGACGTGAGCCATTGTGCCCAGCTTCTGGTAGATTTTTACGAAAATCAGTCTTAAGCCACTGTTTGCATGTCTTTTGTTGTTGATTATGTTAAAAAATAGTCATTTAGGAAATTTCATATAGACTGTTTTCATTTACAGTACTCTTGTGATAAAACTTTATAGATTTAAAATAGTATACTGATATGTGTCAGTTTTCTGATTGTTTTTTTAAAAATTAAAATGTTAAGTTTTACAGGCAGTGAATTGATTAATCTTAAATTTATTTGTATCATCAGCACTATACATACAGTGATTTATTTTCCATATAATTTTAGAAGATTTATTTTCCATTTAATTGTCACTTCCTTGAATTTTTCATTTTTCAGGTTGTTGCTGTAGCCCATGCTGTTTATCAAGCAGTGCTCAGCTTGAAGAATATTCCTGTTTTGGAAACTGCCTATAAGTTAATATTGGGAGAAATGACTTGTGCCCTAAATAACCTCCTACATAGTCTGCAACTTCCTGAGGCCTGTTCTGAAATAAAACACGAGGCTTTTAAGAATCATGTGTTCAATGTAGACAATGCAAAATTTGTGGTTATATTTGATCTCAGTGCCCTGACTACAATTGGAAATGCCAAAAACTCACTAATAGGGGTGAGTCTTTAATTGTAATGACTTAATTTTATCCACAGTTAAACCTTTTCTTATTACATATTGATGTATTTCACTATCATGTCAACATGTCTGTAGGGTCACTGTGTAACCCATAGCCATATTTAAGACATGCCTGGATAAATAAAATTGCTAGGACCATTTTCTTGTCATTATATTTAACTTGTCTTTTTCCTTTTCCATGTTGAATCTTGATAAGGTTTTTTTATATTAGTTTTATTTTCTAGAAAATATTTTAGGAATTTCCCCTATTTGCTCTAGCATGCTTACAGAAAATGTCAATGTTTCTTACAGCTCAAATTTGTATAGTTCTTTTAAAATGCATTCTCTTTCTTCTTCCCCTGGTACTTTATTCTTTCTTTCTATTGAAGTTATTTTTTAGCCATAGTCTTATATTTTGGCTGTCTACTTTTCCCTAGGAACATTGATAGAGTTGAAATATTCCTTATCTGAAATACTTGGGAGTGTTTTAGATTTTGGATTTTGGAATATTTTGCTAACACTGGTGAGCATCCCTAATCTGAAAATCCTAAATCTAAAATGCTCCAAAATTTGAAACCATTTTGAGCACCAGTATGATGCCCCAAGTGGAAAATCTCACACCTGGCCTCATGTGATGAGTCCAAACTTTGTTGTATGCACAAAATTATGTACAATATTGTATAAAATGACCTTTGGGCCATGAATAGAAGGTGAAACATAAATGAATTTTGTGTTTAGACATATATATGTAGATATTCCAAAATCCAAAAAAATACAAAGTCGGAAACACTTCTGGTCCCGAGCATTTTGAATAAGGGACACTCACCCTGTATTCTCTCTTTTGGGGTGGGGGGGGAATTTTTTTTTAACTTTTTTTTATTTTTTATTTTTGATACAGAGTCTCACTGTTGTCGCCTGGGCTGGAGTGCAATGGCGTGACCTTGGCTCGCTGCAACCTCCGCCTTCTGGGTTCCAGCAGTTCTCCTGCCTCAGCCTCCCATGTAGCTGAGATTACAAACGCCTGTTACCACACCTGGCAAATTTTTGCATTTTTAGTAGAGGTTCGCCATGTTGGCCAGGCCGGTCTCTGACTCTTGATCTCAGGTGATCCACCTGCCTTGGCCTCCCAAAGTGCTGGGATTATAGGTGTGAGCAACCATGCTCCGCCTGTTTTTTTGCTTTAAGTAATTTGAAGTGGCTCTCCTCTTGATTCATATTTATTGCTTATGGCTTGTGTATTTCTTCTTATTGGACCACGCAGAGTGGAAAGACATTATTTTTAATAGAAAGTAATAGGTATAGGCCAGGTGCTGTGGCTCAGGCCTGTAATCCCAGCACTTTGGGAGGCCAGGGTGGGAGGATCACTTGAGGTCAGGAGTTTGAGACCAGTCTAGCCAACGTGGTGAAACCTTATCTCTGTTAAAAATGCAAAAATTAGCTGGGCATGGTGGTGCGCACCTGTAATCCTAGATACTCAGGAGGCTGAGTCAGGAGAATCACTTGAACCCAGGAGGCCGAGGTTGCAGTTAACTGAGATCATGCCACTGCACTCCAGCCTGGGTGACAGAGCCAGACTGTCTCAAAAAAAGAAAGAAATGAGTGTAATTAGGGGATAAGATTTTTAGGAGGAAAATGGTAAAATCTGATATTTATGCTTGCATGTGCTCCATGTTGTTTGATTGGATTGCCTTGTATCATTCCATAGCTGCTTCCCTTATTGCCAGTTATGGCTTATATTGAAAGTCTGCAGTAAACTCGTCTTCATACATAAAAGCTTGATTTTTGAGGAATTCCCATTATTTACAGATTGAAAGATATTTATGTCCTGCACTCTAGAAATAAGGAGAAAGTGGTTGGGGATGGGACAGTCAGGTGGAATGGAGTGTCTTAGCAGTATAAAGGAAAAAAGTGGATGGAAAAAGTATAGAGTGGCAGGTTGCGCCTTTGTTTTCTTACTGAACAGGGCACCTTGCCATTTGCGGTATATGGAAAATGAAGGAAATACAGTCTGTTCCCCTAAAAGGCACATACAAAGGGCTTTGTTTAGACCTGAGATCAGCAAACTGTGGTCTGTGGGTCCAATATGGCCCAGCACCTGTTTTTTGTTTGTTATTTTAAGTGTATAATTCACTGATTTTTTTAGTATATTCACAGAAGTGTGCAACCATCACCACACTGGCGCCTGTTTTTATAAAGTTTTCTTGGGTCCAGTCTTGGTGGCTCACACCTGTAATCCCAGCAGTTTGGGAGCCCAAGGCAGGCAGACCACCTGAGGTCAGGAGTTCAAGACCAGCCTGGCCAACATGGTGAAACCCCATCTGTACTAAAAAAAAATAGAAAAATTAGCCGGGTGTGGTGGTGGGTGCCTGTAATCGCAGCTACTCAGGTGGCTGAGGCAGGGAGAATTACGTGAACCAAAGAGACAGAGGTTGCAATGAGCTGAGATTGCGTCATTGCACTCTAGCCTGGGTGACAGTGCAAGACTCCCACTCAAAAAAGAAAGTTTTCTTGGAACACAGCCACTCTCAATCCTATGTTTTGTGTGTGGCTGGTTTTATTTTGCTTGTTTGTTTGAAAGAAAGAGAGAATCTTACTTTTGTCATCCAGGCTGGAGTGCAGTGGTAGGCTCTCAGCTCACTGCAACCTCTGCCTCTCAGCTTCAAGCGATTCTTCCATCTCAGTGCCTCAGTAGCTGGGATTACAAGTGTGCACCACAACGCCAAGCTAATTTTTGTAATTTTAGTAGAGAAGGGGTCCTGCTGTATTGCCCTGGCTGGTCTCGAACTCCTGGGCTCAAGTGAACCACCCACCTTGGCCTCCCAAAGTGCTAGGATTACAGGTGTGAGTCATAACACCAGACCTGTTTTCTTACCATAGTGATAGATGGGGAGTTGCTGCATTGCACGGAGATGCTATATGGCATGCAAAGCCTTTACAACTTTTCTTCACAGTAAAGTGTTTGCCCCAGGTTTAGTGTACTAGATCCCTTTTAAATTTAAATCTGTAATTTTAATTTAAAAATGTCTAAATATCCCTATTTTGAAGGATAAACTCTGTATGCTTCTGTGTATCTTGGAGAAGCCATAAACTTACTTTGTTTTGTACATGATCAGATGTGGGCGCTATCTCCAACTGTCTTTGCACTTCTGAGTAAGAATCTGATGATTGTGCACAGTGACCTGGCTGTTCACTTCCCTGCCATTCAGTATGCTGTGCTCTACACATTGTATTCTCATTGTACCAGGTACTGTATTTATGAATTTTTCTTAAGAAAATAACCCCACAAAACATTTTATTTTTTAATGTATAGATTTTTAAAATGTATGTTGATTTTAACTTTGGACTTGCTTTCTTTGTTTTTTGATTAAAGATGAAAAGATAATCTATACTTTGTCTTTCAGGCATGATCACTTTATCTCTAGTAGCCTCAGTTCTTCTTCTCCTTCTTTGTTTGATGGAGCTGTGATTAGCACTGTAACTACAGCTACAAAGAAACATTTCTCAATTATATTAAATCTTGTGGGAATATTACTTAAGAAAGATAACCTTAATCAGGACACGAGGTAACAGATATTTTATAGTATTAACTGTTCCTAACTTTATTTATATGCCTTTATAGTTTGAGAATAAGAAATGTGGATTACAAGAAATAATAAAATAAAGGTGGATGTAAGAGGTGAGGTAGAGGCAGCTCGTTCGTTGTTGAACACCTTATAATTTGGCTTTATTATTTAATATAGGCTTTCTTATTTTTTCTGAAAAGAAATACATGAAAAATCTCAATCCCCCGTCTCCATTGTTTCATAGGTGACTATATATAGATTTTTAATATTCTTTGCTTTTGTTTTTTGTTTTTTGTTTTGAGATGGAGTTTTGCTGTTGTCACTCAGGGTGGAGTGCAGTGGTACGATCTCAGCTCACTGCAACCTCTGCCTCTGAAGTTCAAGCGATTCTCCTGCCTCAGCCTTCTGAGTAGCTGGGATTATAGGTGCCCAACACTATACCCAGCTACTTTTTGTATTTTTAGTAGAGATGGGGTTTCACCATGTTGGCCAGGCTGGTCTTGAACTCCTGACCTCAGGTGATCCACCTGCATCAGCCTCCCAAAGTGCTGGGATTACAGGCATGAGCCACTACACCCAGCCTCTTTGCTGGTATGCCGCTTTAGGAGGTTTTCTTAAAAGGCACACAACTATTTTGACAGTAATTTCTATAGTTTCATTTTGTATTTTTGTTTTTTATTGCTTGAGGTGTTTGAAAAATCAAAAGAAAACCAGGGTAAGAAGACTAGCTTTTTCAGGTTTTTGTTTTTGTTTTTTTTTTTTTTTTTTAAATGTAAAATCTATTGTATATTTTGTGTTTCAGGAAACTGTTAATGACGTGGGCTTTGGAAGTAGCTGTTTTAATGAAGAAGTCCGAAACATATGCACCTTTATTCTCTCTTCCGTCTTTCCATAAATTTTGCAAAGGCCTTTTAGCCAACAGTAAGACTCTGTTTTCTAAAAAATTTTATCAACCCTAAAAAGGGTCTTTGGTAATGGGAGATGGTCATCAATCAAATTCTTTTCCTGACATGAAGAGGTATAATCCCTATTTTAATGAGAGATACACAGTCTTCTTTTTTTCATTTTTAGTATTAGAAAAATGTTTCTGAAGTGATTGTCACATTTTTACGCTTATGTGAATATTTATAGCTTGCATATACTTTTACATTTTCTCTCAGTAAAGGGTTTGTGTGATGCCCAGTCACATACATTACGTGGGTTTTGTTGACTGTATCATTTTCGCAATGTGACAGTGAGTGAGGATGCCAGATAAGAACAGTGCCTAGTCTATATAGTAGGCACTCACTCTTTGTTCAGTGAATGGATTCAGATAATTATGACTGGGATATAATTTCTTTTGGCCAGCTGAAAGTAACTGTCTTTTAATGTTTAATAGCTCTCGTTGAAGATGTGAATATCTGCCTGCAGGCGTGCAGCAGTCTACATGCTCTGTCCTCTTCTTTGCCAGATGATCTTTTACAGAGGTATGGAGTTAAGATCATGTCTTTTGATACTGACCCTAATAATCTGGAAATGTTAACACACCTGCTTTGTCTATTTCATTCTTTCATAGATGTGTTGATGTTTGCCGTGTTCAACTAGTACACAGTGGAACTCGTATTCGACAAGCATTTGGAAAACTGTTGAAGTCAATTCCTTTAGATGTTGTCCTAAGGTATAACAATTGTTTTGGAGCAAAGACATTGTGTTAAATTTACAGCCTATTAGTGGTCTACTTTAGAAAAAGATAAATCATCTATTAGAGCATTAATGACATATCTTTTATGACCCTGCTTGTCAGTGATTGAAGTGATGTCAAAGAATCAAACTTTGCAGGTCTGCAAGAAAATGAGAACTTGTTAATGGGCTTTATAGGCTCACAATAATTAGTATAGAATAACTCATAGTGCCAAAATGTGTCTTTTAGAATGTCAGATATTTGAAAAACTAAACAGTAATCTTTTATTGTTTTTGATCAAGTTGATTTGGGCGCTTTAAGAGCCTAAAATTGATCCTTTTGTAATACATAAGCATGATGATTAGGTTTTTATGTTCACATGTTAGATACACCTTCCTCAAATCCTATTATGATGTCGGCAGATTACCCATCTGACGTGAATGAAAAAGGAATCTAAATTTGTAATCACATCTCTATCCATTTTAAAGTCTCAATTTTACTGTATTTTTACTTCCAGTGAGTTAATAAGTAAATAACCCATTTACAGTATGTGCTAACCTTTTAAGCTAAAACATTTTGCATAACACAACTTTATTTTCTCTCTACAGCAATAACAATCACACAGAAATTCAAGAAATTTCTTTAGCATTAAGAAGTCACATGAGTAAAACACCAAGTAACACATTCCACCCCCAAGATTTCTCTGATGTTATTAGTTTTATTTTGTATGGGAACTCTCATAGAACAGGGTAAGGCTTTTTTTTTTAATACTATTTTATCTGGGAAACATAATTTTAAGATATCTGTGACTTTACATACAGTTTTGAAGAGAAAATATGTCTGGGGGTGGCAGAGTATTAGTACCATTCTTCTCAAGTGGGTTATTTTAGTTTTCATTAATAGGAAAATTGTTTTGAAGATAGCATCTGCAGAAACAAAAATGGCTTTGAAATTGAGTAATGAAATGTGGTTAACAGTTAACCGATGTGATGTCATTAACACTTTGGGGAATGGGGTGGGGGTGTAGATATTCTAGAGATGGTTAGTTGCACTGAATGAATTTCATTCCTGATTGGCATGAGCCATTTACCCTAGTCATCCTTCTGCACTGTACCTCATCCTGTGAACTGTAAAAGACCTCAAAATGAGAGGTGGAGATATATACTTCTCAATTTCATAGGCTTTACATTTTTGGTGTAGGGAAAATTACAGTCCCTTATTCCCATTTCCCTTGCAATTTTTTAAAAATTAAAATAAAATTGTCATTGTCTGTTAAATATGAAACTACTTTTCCCAGAAAGGACAATTGGTTGGAAAGACTGTTCTATAGCTGCCAGAGACTAGATAAGCGTGACCAGTCAACAATTCCACGCAATCTCCTCAAGACAGATGCTGTCCTTTGGCAGTGGGCCATATGGGAAGCTGCACAATTCACTGTTCTTTCTAAGCTGAGAACCCCACTGGGTAGAGCTCAAGACACCTTCCAGACAATTGAAGGTAACTCACTCAAACTTTGTGATGTGAATACTTTCAAAGCCTTATTAAGAAGTAATGGATTTTTAAATCTTTGTTAAAGGTTTGAGAGTTTATTCTTACTATTTTTTTAAAAAAAGTCAGTAATTTTCAGGTATGTTTGTTAGAATAAGCTTTCATTGAATAATTGCACTGGATATGTGTTTTTTTTTTTTTCCCGTAAAACTTACGGGAGTTGTGTGGAGAAAATATATATATTTATTTCCCCAAGGATAAAAGATTTTTCATGTTGGGATTTTTTATTTTTAAATGATGGATAGACAGAGGATACTTGATAAATGTGGATTTGTCATAAAAATTCACATTTATTCTAGAAACTTTAAAGATTTTAAAAAATTCTTAATTTTGTCTTTGCTTTCAGGTATCATTCGAAGTCTCGCAGCTCACACATTAAACCCTGATCAAGATGTTAGTCAGTGGACAACTGCAGACAATGATGAAGGGCATGGTAACAACCAACTTAGACTTATTCTTCTTCTGCAGTATCTGGAAAATCTGGAGAAATTAATGTATAATGCATACGAGGGATGTGCTAATGCATTAACATCACCTCCCAAGGTTGGTGTCCGTAAGATAGTGTTGTTTTGTAGCAGTTTAACGGTGACAACTGGCAGTACGTGCAGAGCTGAAATCACAATAGACTTGTGTATTTGGTTTATATATAGGTGAGATGACCATATGTGTAAATTGAACCAATCCTGAGCTTTTCTTTCTCTTATTGTAAAGGTCATTAGAACATTTTTCTATACCAATCGCCAAACTTGTCAGGACTGGCTAACGCGGATTCGACTCTCCATCATGAGAGTAGGCTTATTGGCAGGCCAGCCTGCTGTGACAGTAAGACACGGCTTTGACTTGCTTACAGAGATGAAAGCAACCAGCCTATCTCAGGTAAAGCGGTGTGTTTGGAATTCATTTTAAGTCGGTTAATTAGAAAAACATGGTTTAATTCTTTTGATGTGATTTAATCTATGGATAAAATAAAACTTAGATTTATTTTCAAAGCTTTTGATCCTGTATTTTGTAAAAGCAGCAGCTGTCAAAGTTACCTATTTTATTCATGTCAAAACAATGATAGAATGTTAAAACAGTGTTCATGTTAGAACATGTTAAAACTATATTATGTTTAAAGGTTACAGCTTTAAAGGTAATTCTAAAAATTTGTTTATTGGGAGAAATCTTTTTTTTTTTTTTTTGGGAGACAATTTTACTCTTATCGCCCAGGCTGGAGTCCAGTTATGTGATCTCAGCTCACTGCAACGTCTGCCTCCCAGGTTCAAGCGATTCTCTTGCCTCAGTTCCTGGGATTACAGGCACCCACCACCATACCCGGCTAATTTTTGTATTTTTAGCAGACACAGGGTTTCACCATGTTGGCCAGGCTGGTCTTGAACTGCTGACCTCAAGTGATCGCCCACTTCTGCCTCCCAAAATGCTGGGATTAGTGGCATGAGCCACCGCATTGGCCAGGAGGAATTGTTTTTATAATGTATGGCAAATGCTTGATTAATTTCTGGCTCAAAAGTGGGCTCATAGTAAATAGCTGGAATCCAAAATCAACAAATGTTTAGCAATTCAGGTAATGTTAAGCAATATTCAAATACATGAACTTAAACATTCTTTAATTCATGTTTGTTTATATTTAATTTTTGCTTTCTTTTTACTCCATGTGTTATTTCTACAGAGGCCACAGGTTAAATGTTTGGGTAACTTTGGGGTGGGGGTACAACATCCACATGTTGCTAAGGTTCTGTTAGTCATCCTTTGTGGCTATTCATATGTAACATTTTAAAGAATTCTGAGTTAATGTTAAAGTTGTGAAAAATAACTGTTAAATACATTTGGCTTTCAGTAGGCATAGACTGAACAGTTGTAAATTTAGTAGGAATTTATGTTTTAATGGCATTGGGGTCTGTGACTAATTTTTCTGAATGCCATTTTCAGGGGAATGAATTGGAAGTAACCATTATGATGGTGGTAGAAGCACTGTGTGAACTTCATTGTCCTGAAGCTATACAGGGAATTGCTGTCTGGTCATCATCTATTGTTGGAAAAAATCTTCTGTGGATTAACTCAGTAGCTCAACAGGCTGAAGGGAGGTAGGTTGGAAGAAAGGAAAAGGGTGTAGTATTACCTAATGTTTAAATTCTTTGTTTTACTCACTGACATTGTAGTTAAATGTTACAACAGCTTTGTTTGATTTCAAATGTTGCAACAGCTTTGTTCAAATTCACCTATTGAAGCTTGCTATAAATCACTTCACCAGGAGGCATCTTTAATTTGTTCTTTAGCAACAATTCTTGGGTGCCTTTCTTAAGAATTAGTGGGAAATTACACTGTAAAAAAAGACCTGTCACTTGTTTTATAATTGCTTTTGAACTTGATCCCTACTTGAGCCCCTTCCCCCGCAGGGTCTGATACAAATTACGCTTTATTGTCAGAGTATTTGCTCATTAGTCTGTGAACCCTACATTCAGACTCATCTACTTGTTCCAGGTGAAGGAGCTTGTACCATAATATTCTGTGTCTATTTATGTTAGTTTAATGAAATCTTGCAAATTTAGGAAAATAAAAAGAACTGCTCATACTTTCATATCTTTGTGGTGACTTCTGGTATGTGTGCTTTTGTAGTTCCACAATTCCATATCCAAAGGCATTTGTAGTTCTTTTTTCTTTTTGAGACAAGAGTCTCGCTCTGTCGCAATGGCTTGATCTCTGCTCACTACAACCTCCACCCCCCAGGTTCAAGCGATTCTCCTGGGATTACAGGTGCCTGCCGCGACACCTGGCTAATTTTTGTATTTTTTGTGGAGATGGGGTTTCCCCATCTTGGCCAGGCTAGTCTGGTACTCCTGACCTCGTGAGCTACCACGCCCAGCTTTTTTCTTTCATGTAGTTTTCTCCACTCTTCATCAAAACAGCAGCATACATAGGTGCATGGTTTTATGATCTGGTTTTCCCACTCAATATTTTTTTAAAAATTTGCCATGTTAAGTATTCTACAATGTTATTTTTAATGAAGATTTGTATTTGTTGAGTGTAACATAATTTCGTATTTCTTACTGTTGGACATTAAAGTTCTTTCTGATATTTTTTTACTAAGTTAATGCACCATAGCACTTAAAATCTTTGCTTATATTTCAGATTATTTTCTTGGAATCCATTCTTACAAACTGATTTACTATAAGAAAGGCTGCCTAACCATAAGTCTTAGATATATTCTATTGCTAAGTTACTCTGCAGAAAAGATGCCTGCAGTTAATACCCTTAATACCCCCTTCCTTTCACCTTAGTGGATACTGACAGTTACTGAGAAACAAGAATGCTGTTACCACCATCAGTGAAAGTAGTTTTTATAAATTACATTTCTATATTTATTAATGACTAATAGTAGAACTTGCCCCATATATTGACCATTTGTGATTTTTTTTTAAACGTGGATCATGTCTTCATGGCCTTGCAATTTTTCCTGTGTTAATCTATGACATTTTATTTTATACTAAGATTGTTGATGCTATCTAATTTCTTGATTTATAATTTGTTTTTAATGTTAATGTTGTGTTTAAGCATTATGCATATAGATCTCTTACTTGTGCATCTTTTCTTGCATTTATCCTTCTGCAAAGCCTTTCCACACATTGACATCAGTTACTTATCAGTATTTTCCACTAGTTCTTTTATACTGTCTACTTTTTAAAAAAAACATTTAACCACCTTTAAATTTAGTCTCATAGTTGTGAGGAAGACATCAAACCTCCCTTCGCCATAGTCAACTTACTGTTTTAACTCAGTTTATTCTTGCACCATTTTTGTGGAGGTTGTGGGGAGAAATGAGATATGTGTGTTTCAAAAAAAGACTACTTTGAGGCCGGGCTGGGTGGCTCACACCTGAAATCCCAGTACTTGGGGAGACCAAGGCGGGTGGATTGCTTGAGCCCAGGAGTTTGAGACCATCCTGGCCAACATAGCTAAACCTTGTTTTAGCCAGGTGTGGTGGTGGGTGCCTGTAGTCCCAGCTACTTAGGAGGCTGAGTGAGGTTGGAGGATTGCTTGAACCTGGGAGGGCAAGGTTGTAGTGAGCGGTCATCATGCCACTGCCCTCCAGCCTGGGTGACAACGAGACTTTGTCTCAAAAAATAAGTAAATAAGTTAATAAGACTGCTTCAATTTGCTTTTCAGGTTTGAAAAGGCCTCTGTGGAGTACCAGGAACACCTGTGTGCCATGACAGGTGTTGATTGCTGCATCTCCAGCTTTGACAAATCTGTGCTCACCTTAGCCAATGCTGGGCGTAACAGTGCCAGCCCGAAACATTCTCTGAACGGTAAGCATTCAGTATTTTTAAATAAAGCAAAAGTTATAGTAAGATATTTTGCACTGATGATCTTATTTTATGGTTTTAGGTTTCTATGCTCTTTGAAATATTTCTAATTGATCTGAATCTCTTTTTATTTTATAAAATATTTTCAGGTGAATCCAGGAAAACTGTGCTGTCCAAACCGACCGAATCTTCCCCTGAGGTTATAAATTATTTAGGAAATAAAGCATGTGAGTGCTACATCTCAATTGCTGATTGGGCTGCTGTGCAGGAATGGCAGAATGCTATCCATGACTTGAAAAAGAGTACCAGTAGCACTTCCCTCAACCTGAAAGCTGACTTCAACTATATAAAGTAAGGCTTTGTTTTTCCAATTATAAAACAAAATTTCCAGTAGCTATGATGTCTTTATGGCAAAAAATATAAAGTTGGTCATATGTAGTAATACAACATGGTTATATTTCTAATTGACTGCCATTATGAAAATAACAACAGGAAACTGACATCAGAGATGAGGCAGGTGTTTGCATAATGGGAAACAGACTGCTGAGGTGGCCATTTGGTATTAATTCTCAGAACCTGTCATTCTAAAACCTTACTACAATGTGAAGGTTATGCCAGAATGAATATAAAGAAAAATTTGTACTGCTTTAAAAGGAATCACATTTGGTGGCTTTGTTTCTAAATTAGGTCTGAATATATAAAAAACATTTATTCTAATGAGGAGTTTGTGAACATCTGTAAATTAAACTTTATTCTCATTCCTCTGTGCTTTTGTTAATTCTGTAATTCAAAATTGAGCATTCTATTGCAGACACTTGGCTGGGAAGATAAAGGTCGTTAGACTTTGTCTGATACCCTTGCCTTCTGCTAAATGGGTTAATGTGTAATTGCTTCATTAAGCGAGTACTAATTCCAGGCAGCACATAAAACAGACACAAATTCCAACCTTTTAAAGCAAAGATTAGACAAAGAACATTGATAAAAGGATTAGTTGGATCTCACTTACGTTTTTTATGCCATAAGGAAGCAGTTAGGTGAAGTTGACTTTCTTGGGAGGCACAAGGTCAAGTCATGTCCATCAGGATGCCCTTTGGGCCCATACCTGATGTGAGAATGATGGGCTTGGAGTATTCTGGAAATAGCTGGGAGGTCTGTGTGGTTAGGAGCACCTTGAACAGTAGGATATAAAGGCAGAGAAGTAGCTAGGAACTGAGAAAAGAACTTTGGCTGTTAGTCTAGTAAGATCGAAAATTTAGGTGGGATTTGAGCAGAGATGTGTTGTGATCTGACTTGGTGGTTCATTCTGCTATGGCGAAGAGACTGGAATTGGAGGTATGGTGAAGAAACAGGTGGGGGCGAATGTGGACGCATGGAGACCACTGATTTGTGGGGGCAATGGTAAATAAAGGGAGAAGAAACAATGCTATTAATTGGAGTAGGAGCATGCAGAGAACAACAAGGTATGTTTAAGATTTCTAGTGAAATGTGCAGATGAGATTGTTGGGTAAGCTGTTAAGAATCTGATTTGGAACTAAGGATAAAGTCTAAGCTTGAGAGACTTCCAGATGATTAGCACACAGAAAAGGCCCTCTTTCCTTTTCAGTCTCTATACTCTAGAGCCTTGTAAGCCACCAAACCAGAGATAAGCCTCTGGAGAATAGTGAGTGAACAGGAAGGAAGCCTTGGGTCAGAATCCTAGTTTAGCATTTTTGTGAAAGAATAGGAGGGAAAGCCATTGGAAAAAAAAAAAAAAACACAGGGACATTGAGGAGGGAAGTGTCCCAGATGTAGGACATCCAGATGGGATTAGTCAGCCTTGTCAGATGCTCTAGGGATTATAAGGAAAAAGAGTTTTATAGAGAGACAGAAGAAGTTAGATTGAATAATGAGTGGTAGAGAAATTTGAAAATGAAAAGCTTGTGGTAAGTTATTTGGTCAGCGAGTTTTTTCTTTTTTTTTTTTTTTTAAGATGGGGTTTCACCATATTGGTCAGGCTGGTCTCCTGACCTCAGGTGATCCGCCCACCTCAGCCTCCCAAAGTGCTGGGATTATAGGCGTGAGCCACCACACCCAGCTAGCGAGTTTTTCTTGAAGTCAAGGATAGGAAGCTGTTGCTGGAGGGAAATAGATGTTTATTTTAGATATTGGAGAGATTATGTTCTTTGGCCAAGGAGAAGGAGCCACTAGAAAGCATAGGTTGAAGAAACAGGAGATTAACTGGACCTTACCTTTTCTGTGCCTCAAGGAAAGCAGTCACAGATGCTATAGACAGATTTTGGGCGGGCAGTGTATGGTGGATTGGAGGTAAGGGTGGAGGAAATTAAAGCCAGTGCTTTTTTTTTTTTTTTTTCCCCTGAGGACTCAGATGTTAGCTGAAAGCATAGGACATGGTAGAGTATAGCGGGGACTTGGAGAACCTGCCACTGGAGAAGACTCAGGGGCTTTTAATGGCAGAAATGATGAATATGTTGGCAGCAGTTCATCAGTGCCCAGTACCCAAGGCTACCCCTGAGAAGCCAGTGAAAAGCCAGTGGTTGCACTGATCTAGGTAGAACCAGGCACAGGATAATTCAGATGATGTGCCTTTCCAGCACGGGCTTCAGGCTGAGTTGTAAAGAAGTGACACAGTGAGAACGACCGGCAAAGATGGAAAAGAGAGAGTGAGAAACAGTGTTTTCTTCCTGGCTGGTGAGCCCATGACATGGAAATGGGGGCAGGTGAGGGATCTGAAAGGGGCAGCCTAGAGCTGGGAAGATGGGGCCTGTCTTCCTGGCATCGTTGTTGCAGGACTGCAGGAAAGAATTTCAGAGGTGTCATTATTTTTTATCTTTAAGAAGATGAAAGAGAAGAATTTTTTGAAAAAAGAAGTAGAAAGGCAGAGAGGGAGAGATGCCAGTGGTGAAAGAAGCCAGGACTGAGATACAAGATTGTGATGCTAGGAGAGCTGCAAGGGCTCTTGCTGTAGGTGAGGAGTGAGACCGTGCAGGGAGCTCACTGGCAGCTTGGAGAGAACTGGGAGTCAAAGTTGCCCTGCAGAGGCCTACTGTTACTGTGTTAGGCTCTGAAGAGAACAGGCTGCAACACATGAAAACAGGAAGGAGACACTGAATGTCTGTAGCTGTGACTTTCTGGTTCGCTACTCCAGTTTGAGTGCTAATTAGGATGGTAGTCACACCTTCAACAAAAAAACCAAAACTAAAATGGTGGTATCCTTGTGGAAGGAATTTTGTCAGAAAAATGCTGTATACTTTCTTTCTAGAATTTTCATTATTACTATTTTTTAAATGGTTCCACAGGCTGCATTAGGAATACAAGCTAACCGATATTTTAATTACAGGTCATTAAGCAGTTTTGAGTCTGGAGAATTTGTTGAATGTACCGAGCAGTTAGAATTGTTACCAGGAGAAAATATCAATCTACTTGCTGGAGGATCAAAAGAAAAAATAGGTATTTGAGAAAATAATTTTAAAATTATTTTAATGGACAAGTTGCTTAAAATGTTTGGCTTAGTATATTTTCCTGGAAAATCTGGAAGTTATTTTACATTTTTGGGGGCAGAATCCCATGTGGAGCAATACATTTAGGGCTGCCCTATTTATGTTTGATTTGGCAAATGAAAAGCAGTTAAAATTAATCAAATAAAAAAATGGCTACATTAATACTTTGAGATTTAACTAGCCATTTTATTTGACAAAGGACAAAGTAGTGCTTCAGCTAAATATTTTTCTTGATTTTGATCTTGATGTGGCTTATTAAGTTATTTATCACAAATGGAACACTTTATAGAATGTTATTTAAAAGTTGAATGAATATTCTGGGTTGAGCAAGATTTGCTAATGTAGGTCTAGATTTGCTCCCTTAAATAGTAGATTGACTTACTGATTTTTGAGCCTTTGAAGGCAACTGCTTTTTAGGGGTCTGAGATACAGTAATTTTGTATGAAGTAATGATTTTTATGTAGCTCTCAGTAATGCTTATAGTGTTTAGCTGTCTTAACTTAAATATTAAAGGAGATAATCATCGGTGATTATTTTTTTACTACTGCCAGATATAAATCAAAATTGTATAATAAAAGCATGTTAACTTAATGACATCTTACTTAACTTCTGTAGATATGAAAAAACTGCTTCCTAATATGTTAAGTCCAGATCCAAGGGAACTTCAGAAATCCATTGAAGTTCAATTGTTGAGAAGTTCTGTTTGTTTGGCAACTGCTTTAAACCCTATAGAACAAGATCAGAAGTGGCAGTCTATAACAGAGTAAGTTTAATCTTGATGAGGTAAATGTACATTGTATATATCATATGATAAACATACATGGGGTGAGGAGGGCTGGAAAGAGAGTGACTAGATTACTAAATACTAGTGCTAATAGCTTCATTTTAGTTGTAGAAGTCATATGACATATGAATGCTCCCTGCCAACATATACTGAGGTTTAAATGAAATAAAATGTAAAAAATTCTCGAAAGCATATGTCTTGACTTGCCGATAGCATTTTATTATAGAGTAGGCTGCTCCTCTTCCCCCTAACTGTGGATGCACCAGTTTGATAGCATCTTATCAATTGCTTTATTCCTTCAATGGTTGTGAGTTGACAATTTTCATTAATTAATTGACAGCAAACATTTTGTTTCAGAAATGTGGTAAAGTACTTGAAGCAAACATCCCGCATCGCTATTGGACCTCTGAGACTTTCTACTTTAACAGTTTCACAGTCTTTGCCAGTTCTAAGTACCTTGCAGCTGTATTGCTCATCTGCTTTGGAGAACACAGTTTCTAACAAACTTTCAACAGAGGTCTGTATATTTTTACAAGCATATTCTTATGACTGTTAATGGCCACTATTGTAGAACAAAGACCTTATTTTTTGAGTTTTTCAAAATAGGATTTTTAGTTGGACAAGCTAGTAAATCCAGGAATCTAACATGTTGTTTTCAGACAGACTTTCATTTGAGAAGTACATGGGGCAGATGGAAGGACCTGAGATAATCTCAAGAATGGCAAATTGCTTAATTTTTCTCTTATTTTGGGGGTGGAAGGTGGTGTGTGAAAGACAGTTCCTTTAGGCAGATTATGTAAATTTTAGATTTGCTGCAAACAAAGATCTTTCCTCCTCGTTCCAAATAGGGTAAAATTCAGAGTTGGAGCCTCCAAAGGAAAGATGATCTTTGAGAACTTCATTATAAAGCTTTAGTTGTAATGTTTTTCTGCACTTTAGCAGTCTGCTTTATAGTAAATGTGCTGTGATTTTTTTTTTTTGTAGTGTGCTTTATTAAGTATATTGATAAATTAGACTTACTATTCTGAAGAAAATTTCTCTACAAAGCAAAAGGTTTTCTCTTACTGTGTGCTTGCCACTTGCGAGTAGAAGATAAGTGATGTAAGGGTATAGTGTAATAGATAAAACTGTAATCAATTTGAAGTAGCCAAACTATGTTGCAGTCTTAGACTTAAGACTTGCTGTGTATCTGCAAATAAATCAAGAGCCTGTTTTACGTTAAGTAATCTTGGTTTTTTCCTGTCAGGACTGTCTTATTCCGCTCTTCAGTGAAGCTTTACGTTCATGTAAACAGCATGATGTGAGGCCATGGATGCAGGCATTAAGGTATACTATGTACCAGAATCAGTTGTTGGAGAAAATTAAAGGTGAGTGGTTTTTTTTTTTTTCTTAAGAGACAATGAAAGATTTTTTAAAAATTTTGCTTTATCGAGGTATATATCACACATTCTAAGTGTATGATTTGCTGTGTTCTAACATGTCTTTACTTGTATGACCACTGATACAATCAAGATACAGAACACCATCTTATCCCAAAGGTTCCTCATTTAACCCTTCTGTCACTATAGATTAGACTTATTTTTACTAAAGTTTGATGTACATGAAATCCTAACAACGTATTCTCTTGTGCTTGGCTTCTCTTGCTTAGCATGATATTTTTAAGGTTCACCTGTGTTGCATGTATCAGGAATACAGTTCTTTTTATTACTGAGTAGTGTTCTATTGTATGCATATACAACAGTTTATTTCTCCCTTCATCCTTTGATAGATTTTGGGGTTTTTTTTTTTTCTTTAATTGGGCTGTTAAGTATAAAGTTGCTCTCAACATCAAGTGCAAGTCTTTGAGTGGACGTTTATTTATCTTTCTCTTGAGTGAATGCCTGCGAGTAAAATTGTTGGGTTACATGGCTTAGCTTTCAAAGAAATTTGATCACTGGAGTGAGTATGTAGTGGTATCTCATAGTTTTATTTACATTTTCCTGATGATTAATAATGATGAGTATATTTTCATTTGCATAGCGAGTATTATATATTTTAGTTTTCAAATGTTTGTTCAAATTCTTGACCTATTTTTAATGAAGACATACGACTTGTTTTTGTGTTCTGAACATAAGTTCTTTGTCACATAAAATATACTATGAATGTTGAGTTTTATATACTCCAAATGAATAGCTAGAGAATTACTATTTGTATAAATATGTATATGTCAAAAAGATGCTAACCGTTTATTGCTGTAAAACGAAAAGTTGTCAGAATGCTGTGGAGCTTTAGTTGAAAATGTGATAGCTGGTGTTGCTGAGTAAATTTGAGTGTTAAATGTCACATAAGCTAGCAGCTAAGATAGGGACTTCTACTGCAGGGTAGTTACTTGCAGCTGTGACTCAATTGGTTTCTCACTGCCAAACATACCCAGAGTTGGATCATTGGCCCGATGTTTGCCAGTTGAGGAATCTTAGGGCCAATCATTGAATTTCCGGACTGCTTTCTTTTTCAGTTTTATGGGGATTACCCCTCTTGTGAGATACTTGTAGGGATTTATATGGGATTACGAGATGAGGCAAGGTATATAGAAGTCCTGGGACAGAGTGTGTTGTATAATATGGCTTCACAAGTACCCTCATCTTTTTTCCAGTCTCTTTTGTTTGTTTGTTTTGGGACAGAGTCTCAGTCTGTTGCCCACGCTGGAATGCAGTGGCACGATCTTGGCTCACTGCAGCCTCTACCTTCCGGGTTCAAGAGATTCTCATGCCTCAGCCTCTCTAGTAATAGGGATTACAGACGTGAGCCACCATACTTAGCTAGTTCTTTTTATATCACATAAGTTTTTAAATCGAGAAGAAAGGTCAGTAACCAGCAGTTATATTCAGAGACAGAACTCCATTCCTCTTTGTTTTTTCATGTCTTTATTCAGCAAGTACTGGTCAAATATGCTTTTTACCAGGTACTATGCTCCACATTGGAATATAATGGCGATCAAGGAGATTGTAGATTCTGGCAGGGAAAACTGACCTCAAACATGGTGACCCAACATAGTGAGACCCTGTCTCTACTAGAGTAATTGTAAAAATCACCTGAGTGTGGTGGCATGTGTCTGTAGTCCCAAATGCTTAGGAGCCTGAGGTGGGAGTATTGCTTGAACCTGGGAAATGAAGGCTGCAGTGAGCTCTGATCATGCCACTGCACTCCAGCCTGGGTGACAGAATGACACCCTGTCTCTAAAAACAAACGAAAAAAAAATCACAACAAGGAATAGCAAATAATGAGGGCATCTGATTTAATCTTAAGAATCAGAAGAAGACTTGGGGAAGTAACATTTAAGCTGAAACTTAAGGAAGTTAGAGATGAGAAAGAAGGCAGGCTGATTTGGTTAGAAAAAACGTGTGCAGGCCAGAGAAAATGATGATTCTTAGATGACTCAGTTCACCTAAGAGAGAGTAGGAAGAAATGGAGCTGGATGAAACTGAGATTGGAATGGACTGCTCGAAAGCATCAGTGACGGCCAAATTCAGGAGTTGAGGATTTGTCAGAATGGCAGTGAGAAGTCATCAGAGACTTTTAAGCAGGGAAGTTAAAGGTTTAGATTTACCCTTTGTGTGATATCATTTCACTTGCAAGTTGGAGAGTGGATTAGAAGAGTATAAGAATGGGGATAAAGGTACTAAGTTAGGCTGAAGCCTCTGCTAAAAAGGGTAACTAGGGTGGCAGTAGGGAAAGAAGAAAGCAAATGGGTTAAGAGGGTTGAAGATAAAGTCTATGATGGTTGCCAAGTACTTGCATAGGCAGCCAGGCTGATCCTGTGCCCTTCCTTGAGAAGGGGAAAAGGGAAGAAGATAGTAAGAGGTTTGGAGGGTGGTGGAAAATGAACTCCATTTGACATGACTGACATTATTGGAAGCACTCTTGAAATAAATAGAGTGTAGGTGACCACTTGGCAGGTCTGGGTAAAGATTCAATGGTTGTCAGCATTTCTGTGGTAATTGAAGTCACAGGAAAAGATGATGATGTCCAGGGAGAGTATGCAGTGGGAAGAGTAGAGAGCCTAGGACTGAGTCCAAGGAGCACCGGTGTTTAATGGATGAGTGATGGAAGAGAAAGAGACTGAGAAGGATTCTTCAGCAAGGTAGGAAGAAAACCAAGAGAATAATTGAAGGGCAGAGGGTACTTAGAGAAGAAGTTGGGGGGGATGGTTTAGCCTTCCCTATTTTCCCTACCCTTTGGCCCAGGCTTTTTGCCAAAGATTCAGAAACTAAAAAATTTCTTAAAGTGAATGATTTTACTTTGCTCTACTTCATTGTATACATTTAATTTAGCAAACCTTGTTCATTGTATCTCAAGCACTATGCTAGCAGCTAGGGATTTGAGGATGAGTTATCTTTGTTTCAGGAAGTGGTATGGAAGAGAGATAGTTGGGGAATAATTTTTTGGCCATGTTTCCATGCAATCTGGGTAGACAAATCAGGGACTAATAAAACATTTTCTTCTCTTCAGAACAAACAGTCCCAATTAGAAGCCATCTCATGGAATTAGGTCTAACAGCAGCAAAATTTGCTAGAAAACGAGGGAATGTGTCCCTTGCAACAAGACTGCTGGCACAGTGCAGTGAAGTTCAGCTGGGAAAGACTACCACTGCACAGGATTTAGTCCAACATTTTAAAAAACTATCAACTCAAGGTCAGGTGGATGAAAAATGGGGGCCTGAACTTGACATTGAAAAAACCAAATTGCTATATACAGCAGGTTAGTAAAATGAATTATGGTTAATACACAAGTAAAATAAAAATGTGTATATTAATGTTACTGTGTATGTATGTATAAAGTAGTAATAGGAAAGATGATCTTTTCCAGCCGTTGCAGAATATTTGCATCCTGAATAATAAATTACTTGATACTGACTTATCTTTATAACTCAGTGCTTTTAAAAGAATTTTGTTGCAATGTATTAAAGTAAGAAATGTTTCCAGAGGTCACTGATCACTGAATTTACCTGTTTTTTTAACTTTACTATTTTGGGCCAGATGCTCATGCCTATAATCCCAGCACTTTTAAGAGGCCAAGGTGGGAGGATTGCTTGAGCCTAGGGGTTTGACACCAGCCTGGGCAACAGAGCTAAACCTCAGCTATACTTAAATTCGAAGAACTTAGCGGGGTTTGGTGGCACATGCCTGTAGTCCAGCTACTTGAGAGGCAGAGGTAGGAGAATTGCTTGAGCCTGGAAGTTGAAGTTGCAGTGAACCCTGATTGTGCTACTGTGTACTCCAGCCCGGGTGAACAGAGTGAAACCCTGTCTCCAAAAAAAAAAAAAAAAAAAAAAAAAAAAAAAAAGTGTAGCATTTTGGCTGGGCATGGTGGCTCATGCCCTTAATCTCAGCACTTTGGGTGGCTAAGACAGTAGGATTGCAAGCCCAGGAGTTTGAAACCATCCTGGAGCAACATGGTGAGGTCCTGTATCTATTTTATTTTTTTTTAAAGTTGATTATTTTGCACTAAAATAATGTTAGTCATTTGCTTTTTTTTTTTTTTTTTTTTTTTTAAATTAAAGATGGGGTTTCACCATGATGGCTAGGCTGGTCTTGAACTCCTGACCTCAGATGATTCACCCACCTCAGCCTCCCAAAGTGCTGGGATTACAGGCATGAGCCACCGCACCCGGCCCAGTCATTTGCATTTTTGTTTCCTAACCCAAGAGCCTCCCTCCATCATTTGCTTTTAAAGATTCAAAGTTCTGACTTTATGGTTTTCTGTAGGTCAGTCAACACATGCAATGGAAATGTTGAGTTCTTGTGCCATATCTTTCTGTAAGTCTGCAAAAGCTGAATATGCAGTTGCTAAGTCAATTCTGACACTGGCTAAATGGATCCAGGCAGAATGGAAAGAAATTTCAGGACAGCTGAAACAGGTTTACAGAGCTCAGCATCAACAGAACTTCACAGGTCTCTCTACTTTGTCTAAAAACCTACTCACTTTAATAGAACTGCCATCTGTTAATGCAATGGAAGAAGAGTATCCTCGGATTGAGAGCGAATCTACAGGTAGAGTTTCTTTATTAGCTTTAAAATATTTTAGAAGTTATATTTTTTCTATTTTAAAGTTTATAATGTTATGCTGGCTATAATTTTCCAGAAAAAGTGTATCTGTGGAATTTGAGTTTATTTCATTGTCAGGAAATAACTAAGACATATTAAGGATCGAATGCCGTTTTGGAAGTCACTGAACTCTGCTTCCAGGGCAATTTGCTTTTATGGACTTAGATGTTTTTTGCTGGCAATAAGATCCTACCCCTCACATCTAAAATTTCACCTCACCATAGAAGGAGCAACAAAGATTTAAAATAGTTACCTGTGTTCCTGTTGATTGGTGGAACACAGAACCTATAGAAAGATTCATGTTTCCCATTCTGACATAAGCTAGTAACAGAAAGATATCTTACAGATAGGGTAGTTGATTCTTTCAATGTTTGAGTGCCTGTTGTGGAAGGCACCATTCTCCTGTTTTTAAAATTTGAAAGAGAATTTGGGACACGATTTTATTTGCTGAAACATGAGAATATATCTTAATTTTGTTGTTCTGAAGCCTAAGAGTTTAATTACTTAGATTGGTGTTAATAATTTCGATAGATAGGGTCTTGATATTCATAAAGGATATGTCTTGTGATCATTGCAAGTGCACTATATTTGACAGTTTCTTCACCTCTGACAAGGGAATGAAGATGTTTGTCTCATGAGTCTATATGAATGAAATGGTGCACTTATCACCTGTTATTTTTGCCGAATAATTAAAGTCAATCTGATCATGAGGAAATAGCCAGTCAGATTCATAATGCAAGACTTTCTATAGTACAGCTCACAATGACTGTTGACAATATTCAGTGTCATGAAAGCCATTGATGTCTTCCACAGGAGATAATCTAAGCTTACTTGGGAAACTTATAATGAATTCATTTCAACATACCAGTCTTTAAGAGAGCATAATTCATATTTGTACTTTGTTTATTCAAGTTATGTACAGTAATATTATGGAACTTTTTATTGCTTGCAGATGAAAACCTAAAATGCTAATGGGAATGTCATTAGGAATTTGTGAATGTAACATCGTTGAGTTCTTTTATTATTTTTTGTCCATTATGGCAGTGCATATTGGAGTTGGAGAACCTGACTTCATTTTGGGACAGTTGTATCACCTGTCTTCAGTACAGGCACCTGAAGTAGCCAAATCTTGGGCAGCATTGGCCAGCTGGGCTTATAGGTGGGGCAGAAAGGTGGTTGACAATGCCAGGTATGTTTAAATGTGTAGTTTATTTTTGCATTGGAAAAATAAATAATTAAATGTCTCCTGATATGGTAAAGTTTTGGTAGCTAAAATATTGGTGACTTGTTTATCTTTATAGTCAGGGGGAAGGTGTTCGCCTGCTGCCTAGAGAAAAATCTGAAGTTCAAAATCTGCTTCCAGACACTATAACTGAGGAGGAGAAAGAGAGAATATATGGTATTCTTGGACAGGCTGTATGTCGGCCGGCGGGGATTCAGGCAAGGAAAACATGGTGCTTGGGGCAAGATTGCTACTCCATATTAAAAAATTAAACATATATATTTGATTAAATATTGAATGGGGCTTAGCAGTTATTGTTGTAAATTAAAACTTTACGTTTTAAGATGAGTTATATTTGTCTAAGAAGAATTTACTTCTTTTGAGAAATCAAGGCATTTCATTAGATTCCTGTTAAAAATAGGTGAAGTTGGCTGGGCACTGTAATTCCAGCACTTTGGCAGGCCGAGGTGGGTGGATCACTTGGGGTCGGAAGTTCAAGATCAGCCTGGTCAACAAGGCAAAACCCCATCTCTACTAAAAGTATAAAAATCGACAGGCCATGGTGGTGCATGCCTATAATCCCAGCTACAAGGGAGGCTGAGGCAGGAGAACCACTTGAAGGTTACAGTGAGCTGAGATCACACCACTGCATTCCAGCCTGGGTGTTAGAGTGAGACTCTCAAAAGAAAAAAAAAATTAATAAGAGAATTTCATTTTATGTAAATTAAATTTCTTTTTTAATTGCTCTTATCAGAAATTTTAAGTTCTTAACCCACCCTCGGTTGTGAAGCTTTCTTTGTTTTGTTTTGTTTTCTTTTGTTTTTGAGAGACAGAGTTTTGCTCTTGTTGCTAGGCTGGAGTGCAATGGCGCAATCTCGGCTCATTGCCACAAGTTCAAGCGATTCTCCTGCCTCAGCCTCCCAAGTAGCTGGGATTACAGGCATGCACCACCACACCTGGCTAATTTTTTTTTCTGTTTGTAGTAGAGACAAGGTTTCACAGTGTTGGCCAGGCTGTCTCGAACTGCTGACCTCAGGTGATCCTCCTGCCTCAGCCTCCCAAAGTACTGGGATTATAAGTGTGAGCTACTGTGCCTGGCTGGTTTGTGAGCTTTTAAAATATGCCAGTGCATGAAACTTACTCCCAGATGTTCTGAATGAAGGGTGTGTGTGTTTGTGTGTGTGTGTTGTATGTATTTAAACTTACTAGGTGATTCTAATGTGTAGCCATAGTTGATAACAATGGACTAGGTCTGCAGGGTTAATACTGTCTCTCCTTGGAGTTATGTCAATTCTAGAATGCCGAAGCAATATATCATTTGGTTGCAGTCCTCACAGGCATGGATTGTATTTGCCAGGCTAAACTATATCGATCAGTTCTTTCTGTAAACAGCAGCATATCTAAGTCTCTGACTAAGCTAGTGTCTGATACATGCACAGTACTGTAAAGAGAATGTGGTTTACTGTTCTGTCTACATTCAGCCTCAAACTTTTAGCAGATTGTGCTTAATTTTTTGCAAGCATAGGCTGGGCATGGTGGCTCACACTTGTAATCCCAGCACTTTGGGGTGCTAAGGCGGGCGGATCACTTAGGTTAGGAATTTGAGACCAGCCTGGCCAACAAAAAGTCAGCCGGGAATGATAGCGGGCACCTATAATCCCAGCTACCCAGGAGGCTGAGGCATAAGAATTGCTTGAACCCAGGAGGCTGAGTTGCAGGGAGCCGAGATCGTGCCATTGCACTCCAGCCCTGATATTTTGTCTCAAGGAAAAAAAAAAAATTCTGCAGGCAGAATACTGTATTGTAATTTGGAAGCATTTAAGGAACAAAAAAACCCCTGAAAAGTCTAATCTTTGCTAAAAGCTTATATTCTTCGTTGTCTTCATATTAGTAAATACATCATAAAGAGAAGCTTACTGACATTAACTTAGTGTGTATAACACTAAATGTGCGATAATTTTATCATATATGAGAAGAATGTTTTTATGATAGTCGAATTACATACTTTTTCCCTTTTCAGTTTGTATTTAAAATAGCATTTTGTGCACAATTCCTCTTCAGGATGAAGATATAACGCTTCAGATAACTGAGAGTGAAGATAATGAAGAAGATGACATGGTTGATGTTATCTGGCGTCAGTTAATATCAAGCTGCCCATGGCTTTCAGAACTTGATGAAAGTGCAACTGAAGGAGTTATTAAAGTGTGGAGGAAAGTTGTAGATAGAATATTCAGCCTCTACAAACTCTCTTGCAGTGCATACTTTACTTTCCTTAAACTCAACGCTGGTCAAGTATGTAGCACAGTGTTCTAAGAAAATTCATTTGGAACCTTATTAAACAAAAGTAGTGTTCTGAATATTTTCTTATTTATTCCCCTCACCTTTCACTCTTAGATTCCTTTAGATGAGGATGACCCTAGGCTGCATTTAAGTCACAGAGCAGAACAGAGCACTGATGACGTGATTGTGATGGCCACATTGCGCCTGCTGCGGTTGCTCGTGAAGCACGCTGGCGAGCTTCGGCAGTATCTGGAGCACGGCTTGGAAACGACACCCACTGCGCCTTGGAGAGGTGAGACCTGCATAAAATGTTTCAGGAAAAATTGTTTCTCAGTAGGATATATAAGATTTTAAAAAGTGTTTTTCTTATGTTTATTATTTAAACCTGTGAAGGAACAGCCAGATTAGTTCCTAGGACACCGTGCACTGCTTGTTACATCACTAGGACTTTTCTTCCCATCTTTACAAGAAATGGGAAGCTGAAAGACACAGGAGCTTTTTATATAGAAAATGAATTTTGGAGAGGGTGGTGAAAGGTTTTATATATCCTCTATATAAAAAAATTGTCTGTGTCTGCCTTGTTTGTAGGCATTCACAAAAGATACTTTTCTCCACAACATTTTTGAGTTGCCCTGGACTTTGATTATAGTGCTGTACCTAAACCAACCTTAACCAGATTTGCAAATCAAGAATTATTGTGTATGGTTCTTTATTATCACAGGGAGAAATTTGAACTCTTAAAATTTGTACTAATGCTGACACACACATCAGGTTTTATCTGTTCAATCTACAATGCTGATAGTTTCTTCTTAGATTTAAATAACTTTGTCTTTCTCTCCTTATCCTGAAGGAATTATTCCACAACTTTTCTCACGCTTAAACCACCCTGAAGTGTACGTGCGCCAAAGCATTTGTAACCTTCTCTGTCGCGTGGCTCAAGATTCCCCACATCTCATATTGTATCCTGCAATAGTGGGTACCATATCGCTTAGTAGTGAATCCCAGGCTTCAGGTACGGAATATTCAAATATTGCTACTTTAAGTATAAATTACTGTGCCAATAATGTTTGTTAGGTCAAATTTTTTAAGCTTTATGTTCCAGAGTTGTTAGAGTTTGTCGGTTTTTTAATAGTAACGATTAGCATTTGTTGAGGGAGTAATTACTGTGGATCTGGCACCAGGACATGTGCTTTGCACATTATCTGTAGTCTTGACAATTATCCACCAAGATGTGGAGAAATGGAGTAACTCTACCAGGTTCACTGAGCTGTAACTCTTAGAAGAGTATTATACCAAGTTTTGGCCAGGTGAGGTGGCTCACACCTATAATCCCAGCACTTTGGGATGCTAAGGTGGGTGGATCACTTGAAGTCAGGAGTTTGAGACTAGTGTGGCCAACATGGTGAAACCTCATTTCTACTAAGAAATACAAAGAATTAGCCGAGTGAGGCAATGCACACCTGAAGTCCCAGCTGTTCAGGAGACGGAAGCACAAGGATTGCTTGAACCCGGGAGACAGGTTGCAGTGAGCCAAGATTGTGCCACTGTACTCCAACAGGGATATACAGCGTTCAAAAAAAAAAAAAAAATTATGCCAAGTTTTGAACTCCAGCTTGAAGAATATTGTTAGACGCTTATTATCTTTCTCCCATATATCTTCCATTAGCTTATAATGTTAATAAATATGAAAGCTGAACTTATAAAAAGACTGAATATCCACAGTCTTTAATCAGTGTAATGTATGGAAGGCACATCAGTTCAATGAGTGCTCTTGAGTCAAATAGATCTATGTCAGTGTTTTCCCTAACTCAGCATATGCACATGAAAGAAATATTGAAAGCATTCCTTGTCGTCCTATTTCATTATAGGAAATAAATTTTCCTCTGCAATTCCAACTTTACTTGGCAATATTCAAGGAGAAGAATTGCTGGTTTCCGAATGTGAGGGAGGAAGTCCTCCTGCATCTCAGGATAGCATTAAGGATGAACCTAAAAGTGGATTAAATGAAGACCAAGCCATGATGCAGGATTGCTACAGCAAAATTGTAGATAAGCTGTCCTCTGCAAACCCAACCATGGTGTTACAGGTATAAAGAAACTCGCATGTTGTAGAAGAATTTTTTATAGAATAATCAAAATGGCTTTTGACAATCATTAGTCAGTGTTTTCTAATTGTATAATGAACACAAATTGCACACACTTAACTTTTGAAGTCCAGTGTTTGAAGAACTATGCTTTGCGTAGACTTATAGATGAGCTGTTTGGGTGTGCTGTGTATGCAGGTTCAGATGCTCGTGGCTGAACTGCGCAGGGTCACTGTGCTCTGGGATGAGCTCTGGCTAGGAGTTTTGCTGCAGCAACACATGTACGTCCTGAGACGAATTCAGCAGCTCGAAGATGAGGTGAAGAGAGTCCAGAACAACAACACCTTACGCAAGTATGTTTCCCTACACTCGTCCTGAGATGGTGAAGCTGCCTCTCTCTTTTTTTTTTTTAATGTATCAAAGTATAAATAACATAAAATTTACTATTTTAATCATTTTTAGGTGTACAATTCAGTGACATTAAATACATTCACTATATTATACAGTCATCACCATGGTCCATTTCCAGAACTTATTCATTATTTTAAATAGAAGAAGCTCTGTACTCATTAAAGATTATCTCTTCATTTCTCCCTTACCTAAGTTCCTAGTCACCTCTATTCTACTTGCCATCTCTATGAATTTGCCTATTTTAGCTACCTCATAGAAGTAGAATCATACTGTATCCATCCTTTTGTGTCTGGCTTTTTATACTTAGAATAATGGCCTCAAGGTTCATTGTGTTGTAGCATGTGATAGAATTTCATTTTTTTCATGGCTGAGTAACATTGTATGGTTATACCACATTTTTTTCATCCGTTTTTGGACAGCTAAGTTGCTTCTACATTTTAGCTCTGAATGATGCTGCTGTAAACATTAGTGTACAAGCATCTGTTTAAGTCCCAGATTTGTATAATTTTATGTGAATTTTGTATATGTTTTGTGGATGATCCAGTGAATTCGCTGGATGATATGGCAATTCTACGTCTAACTAACTGAGGAACTGACAAACTTTTCCACAGTTGCTGCACCGATTTACAATCCTCCTAGCCATTCATGAGGGTTCCAATTTTTCCTAATCTTGCAAATACTTCTTTTTTCTTTCTTTTTTTTTTTTTTTTTGACAGTAGCTGTTATGGTGGATGTGAAGTGGTATCTCCTTGTGGTTTTGATTCGCATTTTCCTAATGACTAGTGATGTTGAGCATCCTTTCATGTATTTTATTGGTCATTGGCATATCTTTGGAGAAATGTCATTACCAAATCCTTTGCCCATTTTTTAATTGTGGTTTTTGTTTTTTTTTTTAAATTGTTGAATTGTAGAAGTTCTCTATGTGTTCTGGATACTAACCCTTATCAGATACATGATTTGCAAATATTTGCTACCATTTTGTGCGTTGTCTTTTCATTCTCTTCATAGTATGTAGTATTTTTTGATTTATAAAAGTTTTGATTTTGATGTAGCTCAATTTTCTCTGTGCTTTTGGTGCCATATCCAAGGAATCATTGCCAAATCTGGTATCATGAAACCTTTCCCTTATGTTTTCTTCTAGGTTTTTTTTTTTTTTTTTTTTTTTGAGATGAAGTTTCGCTCTTGTTACCCAGGCTGGAGTGCAATGGCGCGATCTAGGCTCACCGCGACCTCCGCCTCCTGGGTTCAGGCAATTCTCCTGCCTCAGCCTCCTGAGTAGCTGGGATTACAGGCACACGCCACCATGCCCAGCTAATTTTTTGTATTTTTAGTAGAGACAGGGTTTCACCATGTTGACCAGGATGGTCTCGATCTCTTGACCTCGTGATCCACCCGCCTCTGCCTCCCAAAGTGCTGGGATTACAGGCTTGAGCCACCGCGCCCGGCCCCCTTATGTTTTCTTTTAAGTGTTTTGTAGTTTTAACTTTTAAGTTTAGGTCTTTGATCCATTTTGAGCTATTGCTTCATTATGTGGATATCCTGTTTTCCCTGTGTCATTTAATTCATTGAATAGAGGAGCTGCCTCTTTTATGAGCTGCATTTTTTTTTTTTTTAAACAATTTTTGGTTGGGCTTGCTGGCTCATGCCTGTAATTCCAGCACTTTCAGAGGCCGAGGCAGGTGGATCACAAAGTCAGGAGATCAAGACCATGCTGGCCAACATAGTGAAACCCCATCTCTACTAAAATACAAAAAATTAGCCGGGCCTGGTGGTATGCGCCTGTAGTCCCAGCTACTCAGGAGGCTGAGGCAGGGGAATTGTCTGAACCCGGGAGGCGGAGGTTGTAGTGAGCCGAAATCACACCACTGCACTCCAGTCTGGCAACTGACCAAGACTCTGTCTCAAAAAAAAAAAAAAAAATTCTTTGTTAGTAATTTACTTTGTGAACATGTTATTGCTTTATTTAGACTTATTTCTTGGTGCTGTTTAAGAATTGATATATTTAAATTGTTCCATGTTTGTGTAAAACTTTAACATACAGTAAGTTTTTGAATAAAAATTTCTTCTTGGTCAGAGAAGAGAAAATTGCAATCATGCGGGAGAAGCACACAGCTTTGATGAAGCCCATTGTATTTGCTTTGGAGCACGTAAGGAGTATCACAGTGGCTACTGCAGAAACACCTCATGAAAAATGGTTTCAGGATAACTATGGTGATGCCATTGAAAATGCCCTGGAAAAATTGAAGACCCCATCCAACCCTGCAAAGCCTGGGAGCAGCTGGATTCCATTTAAAGAGGTACAGAATAATCCCATGTGTACTACTGAAACAGCACAGTTCCCATGAGATAACGAAATTTAAATAAGCGGACTCCTTACTTGGACCGTAAGAGATTTTATAAACCCGTAGAAGGCAGCCTGTGGCCAGTTGCTTATAAGGAACTTAGAAAAAAGTGGTTTTGTTTAAGAATTTGCAAATCAGTGGACAAAGGTGCCTAATCTTTCATGTATGGAAGGTTCACACTGGTGAACAACACATGAAGAAATTAGCCAAGGGAAGGGGCTGGGACCCTGAGCTAAATATTGGTTGCCTGCTTTATTCACCTCATAAAAGATAGGAAGTTTAATCTTGTGCCTATGTAGTTTTTCACGAGGAGAGCATTCAACATTTCTAACAGATAAAATATCACCTGTAACAACATAAATTTTTACAAGTAGTCGTTCTGGAATCAATTCCGCGTATGCTGTGCGGGATGATTAGTGTATTCACATATTTGAGAAGTCTTACCTTTTATATTTTGTTTTTTCTTCTTTGGTCTTTATCTTTTCTAGCAAATAACACCATTAGTTGGGGGAACTTATTACTTTGTAGCTCTAGCTTTTCACTTTGTAGCTCCAGCTTTCCTTCTCCCTCCCTCCTTTCTCTGTCTCTTACCTTTATCCTAGCTGATTTCTCACTGAACTTGAGCAATGAGAAAGCTATGAAAAGATACATGTAGAAACAAAAAGTGCAGCCAACTTTAGTAAATGCAGAGTGCTAAATTCAGAGCAAATAGCTAGAAGTACAAGAAAGAAAACTAACATGAAGGATGAAGTTTATTACGTGGTCTTGCCAAAATTTGAGTTTCATTATGTGTGTGTGTGTGTGTGTGTGTGTGTGTGTGTGTGTGTGTGTGTGTATGGGAGGGGAGGAAGGGTTTGTTTTGTTTTGTTTTAGTTGCATTTTAGGTTTTGGGGTACATGTGAAGAACATGCAAGATTGTTGCTTAGGTATGCACATGGCAGTGTGATGTGCTGCCTTCCTCCCCATCATCTGTATCTGGCATTTCAGACTGAATCTTGCTCTATCACCTAAGCAGGAGTGCAGTAGCAGGATCTTGGCTTTATGCAACCTCTGCCTCGCAGGCTCAAGGGATTCTTCTGCCTCAGCCTCCCGTGTAGCTGAGATTGCAGGCATGCGCCACCACGCCTGGCTAATTTTTGTATTTTTAGTAGAGGTAGGGCTTCACCATGTTGGCCAGTCTAGTCTCCAACTCTTGCCCTCAAGTGATCTGCCCACCTCCGCCTCCCAAAGTGCTGGGATCACTCCCAAAGTGGCTTGAGCCACCACACCTGGCCTGAGTTTCCTTGTGTTCTAAGAGCGGTTTCTTGTTTCTTTATTTCCCTTTCAGTAAATGAGTTAGAAAAGAGGATATAGGAGGAATGAATACTTTGTGAACCGTGTGTGTGTGTGTGTGTGTGTGTGTGTGTGTGTGTGTGTGTGTGTGTAGCTGAACAATAGTCTGTTATGTGAAAATACCACAGTTTATTTATTCTTTTGTCATTGGGCACTTGGGGTGTTTCCAATTCGTTTTTTTCTTTTTATGAACAAAGCTTGCTAAAGATTGCATTACATTGTTTCACATGAAAGCGGAGTCCAGAATTTGTTAATTTGGGTGTATTATTATTATTATTTTTTATAAAATTTATTTTATACATTCCACATTTTTTTTAAATTTTTTATTATTTATTTTTTTTTTTTGAGACGGAGTTTCGCTCTTGTTACCCAGGCTGGAGTGCAATGGCGCGATCTCGGCTCACCGCAACCTCCGCCTCCTGGGTTCAGGCAATTCTCCTGCCTCAGCCTCCTGAGTAGCTGGGATTACAGGCACGTGCCACCATGCCCAGCTAATTTTTTGTAGTTTTAGTAGAGACGGGGTTTCACCATGTTGACCAGGATGGTCTCGATCTCTTGACCTTGCGATCCACCCGCCTTGGCCTCCCAAAGTGCTGGGATTACAGGCATGAGCCACCGCGCCCGGCCTTGGGTGTATTATTATTGACTTTGGTGCATATAACAACACAACTGTACATACGGACTTTCCTGTGATTATTAGAAAGTATTATGGGGCTTTTCTGCATACCTCAAATGGTCAGACCTCTAAATGGTTACTTCTTTGTTAAAAATATTCTTATGGCTGGGCGCAGTGGCTCATGCCTGTAATCCCAGCACTTAAGGGAGGCCAAGTTGGGTGGACCACGAGGTCAGGAGTTCGAGAAGAGCCTGGCCGATATGGTGAAACCTCATCTCTACTAAAAATGCAAAAAATTAGCTGGGCGTGGTGGCACGCACCAGTAGTCCCAGCTGCTCGGGAGGCTAAGGCAGGAGAATCACTTGAACCCAGGAGGCAGAGGTTGCAGTGAGCCGAGATTGTGCCACTGCACTCCAGCCTGGGTGACAGAGCAAGACTCCATCTCCAGGAAAAAAAAAAGTTCTTATTTGTCTTTGTCTTTTCTTCAGTTTTGTTAAGTGTCTTAGAAATCCACCAAATTAACTCTCCTCCAGTTTGAGAAGAGTATACAGAGCCTCATTTTTCTTATAATTTAATGTTAATAACTTCGTAGGTGGCTTTTTAAGGGTTTGTCTACCTGACAGCCAGCCAACTGCTAGCTGTACCTATTGCAAAGAATGGATCCATTTGTTTTGGCATTGTTCATACATAGCTCAATATTGGGGAATTATTAATACTTGCTAAAAGCCCCAAATTGGGTGATCATAGCAGTGTTTTCCTTATATCTCTTGTAATTTCATTGCTTGTTTGGACAGAGGAGAAGAAAGAGTCTTAACAAAGTGGGAATCCTGTAGTGTACATCAGCCACCAGTGTTACCCATCCAGGATGGCCCAGATCTCAGTACTGAGTTAAATTTAAAAATAAGAACAACAGATAGTTGTATGGATTTTAAAATTTACTTTTCTTGTTGTTTTTGAGACAGGGGTCTCCCTCTGTCACACAGGTTGGAGTGCAGTGGCGTAACCTTGGCTTACCGCAACCTCTGCCTCCCGGGCTCATGTGATCCTCCTGTCCTGCCCCAGCTTCCCAAGTAGCTGGGACTACAGGCACCAGCCACTTTGCTGACTAATTTTGTATTCTTTTTTTTTTTTTTTGAGACGGAGTTTCGCTCTTGTTGCCCAGGCTGGAGTGCAATGGCGCAATCTCGGCTCACCGCAACCTCCGCCTCCTGGGTTCAGGCAATTCTCCTGCCTCAGCCTCCTGAGTAGCCGGGACTACAGGCACGCGCCACCATGCCCAGCAAATTTTTTGTATTCTTAGTAGAGACGGGGTTTCACCATGTTGACCAGGATGGTCTTGATCTCCTGACCTCGTGATCCACCCACCTCGGCCTCCCAAAGTGCTGGGATTACAGGCGTGAGCCACCGCGCCCGGCTAATTTTGTATTCTTTGTAGAGGTGGAGTTTTGCCGTGTTGCCCAGGCTCGTCTCAGACTCCTGAACTCAGGTGATCTGCCTGCTCTGGCCTCCCAAAGTTCTGAGATTACAGGCGTGAGCTGCCGCCCCTGACCTACAATTTACGTTTATGCCAGATTGAATGTGGAAGAAAATAAGTGTTCTAATTATGATGTAGATTTGTTTCTCCCATCTTATGTATACAGATAATGCTAAGTTTGCAACAGAGAGCACAGAAACGTGCAAGTTACATCTTGCGTCTTGAAGAAATCAGTCCGTGGTTGGCTGCCATGACTAACACTGAAATTGCTCTTCCTGGGGAAGTCTCAGCCAGAGATACTGTCACAATCCATAGTGTGGGTGGAACCATCACAATCTTACCGACTAAAACCAAGCCAAAGAAACTTCTCTTTCTTGGATCAGATGGGAAGAGCTATCCTTATCTTTTCAAAGGTAGGATTTAAGACTTCCTCCATTTTTCAGAAGAGTGTTAGTCTTAGTAATGCTTTGTGTGAGTGTGGGTGTATATGGTAGGAGATTATTTCAGGTGAATTTCTGTATGTCATTATTAGCCTGCAGTGCCCTGTATCTTACGTGCTTTTGAAGGGCAGTGGTTGGATGCTGTGCAGAAAGATTTTCAGCCCCCACTTTGTGTATAAACTCGTACAAGCAGGACAAGTGAGGTACAGCTAATAATGCTAATATAGACTGCCAATATCTTGTCACAGAATAGAATTCTTTAATGCTCTCAGCGTGCCTCACGGACTGTCAGTTTTTGACTCTTGTTGCTAGTTGCAGTACCACAGAGGAGTGGTATTCTCCCAATCTCATTTAATCACCTACCTTAGCTATTTTAATTTTGTTTTTCATAGGACTGGAGGATTTACATCTGGATGAGAGAATAATGCAGTTCCTATCTATTGTGAATACCATGTTTGCTACAATTAATCGCCAAGAAACACCCCGGTTCCATGCTCGACATTATTCTGTAACACCGTTAGGAACAAGATCAGGACTAATCCAGTGGGTGGATGGAGCCACACCCTTATTTGGTCTTTACAAACGATGGCAACAACGGGAAGCTGCTTTACAAGCACAAAAGGTTGATTAAATTATCAACACAGTATATTAGTCTATACTCTTGTTACTATGTGAAATACTTCTAAGCTTACTAGACCATTTTTGCATGTTTATAAGCATTAAAGAAGGAAAAGACTTGAGGTCCTTAGAGCAGTGTTTTTTCGGTACTTTTTTTTTTTTTTTTTGGGAGACCCAGTCTTGCTCTTTTGCCCTAGCTGGAGTGCAGTGGTGTGATCTTGGGTCACTGCAAACTCTGCTTCCCAGGTTTAAGCGATTCTCCTGCCACAGCCTCCTGAGTAACTGGGACCCGGCGGGGTGGACAACCACACCTGGCTAATATTTGTATTTTTGGTAGAGATGGGATTTTGCTACATTGCCCAGGTTGGTTTTGAACTCCTGGCCTTAAGTGATCCACTCTTCTTGGCCTCCCAGAATGCTGGGATTACAGGCATGAGCTACCGGACCTGGCCTTTAGGATACCTTTTATAAAAATAAAGTTTTTTGCTTTTTTTGGTTTTTTTAAAGGGAGAGGGTCTTGCTCTGTTGTCCAGGCTAGAATGCATCATAGCTTGTTGCAGCCTTGAACTCCTGTGCTCAAGCATTCGTCCTACCTCAGCCTCCTAAAGTGCTGGGATTAGGGGCATGAGCCAACACGCCCAGCCAAAAATAGTTTTAAGAGGCAAAAATGATGGCATTGGGTTTATCAAGACAAATTGGAAAGGGGCAATGTGTGGTTGTTCATCACTGAGTAACTCCTGGTACTTTACATCTTAATGTTTTTATTGGGTTTACCATTCTTTTAAATTAAATTTGTAAATAATAGCTTTAAAACCCACATTCTTTTATATATGTAAATAAGAAGCAACTTTAAATTTGGAGTTCATCACCATGGCATCCTATTTTGTACCTGTGAATTTTATGCTTTTATTTAGACTAAGAGTTTAATTTAGGATATGTTTAGCCATGTGTCTGAGTGCTTAATATATGCCAGGAACAGCACTAAGCTCTTAGGATATTAAGATAAATTTTATACAGTCTTAGCTTTAGGATCTCACATTTAGCTAAAGAAAATGCTTCTGATTAGGGTAAGTAGGGGGAAAAAGTAAGAGTTTGAAAGGAGTCAAGTTTTAAACCTAGGCCCAGGAGACTACGGAACTGTTATTGAAGGATAATTTCAAAATAGTAATTAGAGAAGGGCTATCTAAATTCTCATGTAATGTGTTTTTGAATTTCTGTTAATTTTATATTAATGATTAAGTCATGTGTGAAGAGTGAAGTATGTGCATAAATTATGAACTATAATTTTAAAACTGAATTCTGTATTATAAAGAAGAAAGCAACTTGAGTGTTTAGTTTTGAATTAAACTTCAAGAAAATTGAACAGTAGACCAGTTTTTCAATAAAGTGAATGGGCCTAATTAAAAGAAAGTTATACATTATAAGAACCATAGACTGGAAGAATTAGCTATTTTGTATTAATATGTGATATTTAGCTGGGTAACCAGTGAATGCTACTGAAAAATCATTTTTAAAAATTCTACTTTACATAAAAAAGGTACTCTTTTTCCTTATATAAAATTGATATTTTCTCTAAAACAAAATTTTTTTTCTTAAGGCCCAAGATTCCTACCAGACTCCCCAGAATCCTGGAATTGTACCCCGTCCCAGTGAACTTTATTATAGTAAAATTGGCCCTGCTTTGAAAACAGTTGGGCTTAGCCTGGATGTGTCCCGTCGGGATTGGCCTCTTCATGTAACGAAGGCAGTATTAGAAGAGTTAATGGAGGCCACACCCCCAAATCTCCTTGCCAAAGAGCTCTGGTCATCTTGCACAACACCCGATGAGTGGTGGAGAGTTACGCAGGTATGTGCTTTGTTTTAGATTATACTCAGTAGTAGTATTCATTTGGCCTGCTACCCTTCTTATCTGTCTAGTTTGTCGTCTTTCCATTCCTTCCTCTGTCCCTCCAGACTTGGTAGTTTGAGACCTATATTTGAGGCTAATATTACAGTTATAAAGGCATGAACATGACTGTATCTGAGGGCAGGATGGAGAAAGAGTTTTGAATGAGATGAAAAGGAGATCCTGCCGGGCGCGGTGGCTCACGCCTGTAATCCCAGCACTTTGGAGGACCGAGGCGGGTGGATCACGAGGTCAAGAGATCGAGACCATCTTGGTCAACATGGTGAAACCCCGTCTCTACTAAAAATACAATAATTAGCTGGGCATGGTGCCGTGAGCCTGTAGTCCCAGCTACTCGGGAGGCTGAGGCAGGAGAATTGCTTGAACCCAGGAGGTGGAGGTTGCGGTGAGCCGAGATGGCGCCATTGCACTTCAGCCTGGGTAACGAGTGAAACTCTGTCTCAAAAAAAAAAAAAGGAAAAAAAGAAAAGGAGATCCTAAGCAAATTAACACAGGAGCAGAAAACAATACTGCATGTCCTCACTTATAAGTGGAAGCTAAACATTGAGCACACATGGACCCAAAGAAGGGAACAACAGACACTGAGGCCTATTTGAGGCTGGAGGGCAGGAGGAGGGAGAGGATGGAAAAAATACCTGTTCACTGCCTGGGTGACAGAATAATGTGTGCATCAAACCCCAGTGACATACACATGTCCCTCTAAGCCTAAAAGTTGGAAGGGAAAAAATATTTTTAAATAAAATCAATATTTAAATTTTAAAAAAGAAGGAGACGAAGTGTGCTGGCTTGTGCCTGTAATCCCAGCACTTTGGGAGGCCAAGGTGGGTGGATCACCTGAGGTTCAGGAGTTCGAGGCCAGCCTGCCCAACATGGTGAAACCCTGTCTCTACTGGGGAAAAAAAAAAAAAAATTAACCAGGCGTGGTGGCAGGCCGCTGTCATCCCAGCTGCTCGGGAGGCTGAGGCAGGAGAATCGCTTAAATCTGGAAGGCGGAGGTTGCAGTGAGCTGAGATCACATCATTGCACTGCAGCCTGGGTGACGAGCAAAACTCCATCTCAAAAAGAAAAGGAGAATAAAAAATTAAGAAAGTGGCAAACAGGAAGGATGAAGAAAAGTCTCCCTCTTTTTTTTTTTTTTTTTTTAAATCCATCATCCTGATAACGAATTAACTGGGACCAGTCAGGTGTATGGTGTTGTATTACTGCATGACTACATGGAGCAACCTTGAGGAATGCTTTTTATTTATTGATTTATTTTAAAATAAGGGAGTAGGTTTTTGGTGCTTTGTAAATTTTATGTTCGTCTATGTTCGAGGGGAATTTCCTAATGGTGTTTCACTTACTGTCCCCATTTCCTTCCCTGTAGTCTTATGCAAGATCTACTGCAGTCATGTCTATGGTTGGATACATAATTGGCCTTGGAGATAGACATCTGGATAACGTTCTCATAGACATGACAACCGGAGAAGTTGTTCACATAGATTACAATGTTTGCTTTGAAAAAGGTAAAATAAAAGTGTACTTTACATTTGTGAGGGTCAAATGTTTTTTGGTGAAAGGGCAAAAATACAATGATTTGTCTTTTCAAGGTAAAAGCCTTAGAGTTCCTGAGAAAGTACCTTTTCGAATGACACAAAACATTGAAACAGCACTGGGTGTAACTGGAGTAGAAGGTGTATTTAGGCTTTCATGTGAGCAGGTATGCTGTTTTCTCTTCTACCTTTTAGTGTACTTGTTAAATGAACAAAACTTGTGGAGTGAAAAACACTTCAGTGATGAAATTTATGGCAGACCTTACTTTTAAAACTCTCCTGAAAACAGGTTTTACACATTATGCGGCGTGGCAGAGAGACCCTGCTGACACTGCTAGAGGCCTTTGTGTACGACCCCCTGGTGGACTGGACTGCAGGAGGCGAGGCTGGGTTTGCTGGTGCCGTTTATGGTGGAGGTGGCCAGCAGGCCGAGAGCAAGCAGAGCAAGAGAGAGATGGAGCGAGAGATCACCCGAAGCCTGTTTTCTTCTAGAGTAGCTGAGATTAAGGTGAAGTCAGGGATGGAATAAGTCATTGTCTTCTTCTTGTTAATAGAGTAAACATGCTCTCAAAATGTTGAGTCAAATTGTTTCTCTAATTTTTCTGGGCAAGACTAATGTATAATATTGAAATGGCAGTTAAATATGGAAATTTGATGTCATCTTTTTATTAGGCAGTTCTCCCACCGGAACACACACACAGTTACATTCCACACTCCTAGGAGTGTTCATGATTTGGAAAAATATATTTCTTAATTATTGACATGTGTTTAGCAGTCATGACTGTAAGTGTTCTTTAATCGGATAGCTTTGTTTCCCCATCTGGTAGCCAGGGATGCCAATCTTGTTCTGGGTGACGTTGGCAACTATTAAATTAATACATGGTATTACAGGATTGAGCCTATCAGTTTCTGCCTATGTAAACTTGAACGTATTAATTTTCTTTGTACAGTGGAGGTGATGCATCACCCCTTTGGGGTTTTGTAGAGATCTAAGTAGGATGCGCGAAATGTTTTTCTGACACTGTCTTGTCTCACAATTGGCCCTGTAAGAGGCTTTCTAATCGTAGTATCTTTTTACAGGTGAACTGGTTTAAGAATAGAGATGAGATGCTGGTTGTGCTTCCCAAGCTGGACAGTAGCTTAGATGAATATTTAAGCTTGCAAGAGCAACTGACAGATGTGGAAAAACTGCAGGGCAAACTACTGGAGGAAATAGAGTTTCTAGAAGGAGCTGAAGGGGTGGATCATCCTTCTCATACTCTGCAACACAGGTTTAAAATAGTGTTGAATTCTTACTTTGAAATACGTGCCAGTAAGCAGAATTTTGATATTTGTGTCAAAATCAATATGGATTAGAATTGTAACAACTCACATAAATGATAAAAGATGTCTTAGTGACTACAACTTCAAAGTTAGTAAACAAAAATTCACTGAAATGTTCTGCTTTTATTATCTTTAACTTAAATGTTTGGATGACTAATTATGGGAGACAGGTGGGTGTTGTGGTTAGAACTCAAAACTTGGGGTCAGAAAATCTGGGTTTTCTCATTACAGTTACTGTATCTGAGTCCTTATTCGTTTGTACAATGGCAGCTACTTCATCTACCTCACTGAGTTAAGTATCAAATAGGATGATGAACTGAAAGAACCTTATACACAGCAGGTTCTCAGTAAAGGGTAGTTGAATATGAAAGTGTCAAGCATTGCATGAGGCTTTCAGATTACAAAGATCTGTCAAGCATCAGTCTCTAACCTTCAAGGATCCCAAAACTTGGTAGTTCTAATTAAAATAATGTGAGCATAGTTGAGGGACTCACAGGGTCAGGAAAAAAACAGAGAAGTAAGGGCCATTTGAGCAGAGCCCTCAACATGGAAAGGAGCTTACCAGACAGCCTGTGTGAGCACAGTTGAGGTTAGGAGAGTATGTCTAAGAAAAACAGCAAGTAATCTTTTGGTTTTGTTTGTGTCCCCTTGATTAGGTATTCTGAACACACCCAGCTGCAGACTCAGCAAAGAGCTGTTCAGGAAGCAATCCAGGTGAAGCTGAATGAATTTGAACAATGGATAACACATTATCAGGCTGCATTCAATAATTTAGAAGCAACACAGCTTGCAAGCTTGCTTCAAGAGATAAGCACACAAATGGACCTTGGTATGGGTTGACTTATTTTAGGTTCACATGTGAAACTGTGAATTCTATAGTCTTGTGTTTCTGTGTAGGGTTCTGGTTTGTGCTGGCTTTCAATAATAGCTGACTTAACACTGTTTTACTGTGATTAATATTGTCTTTTACCAAAAGGTCCTCCAAGTTATGTGCCAGCAACAGCCTTTCTGCAGAATGCTGGCCAGGCCCACTTGATTAGCCAGTGCGAGCAACTGGAGGGGGAGGTTGGTGCTCTCCTGCAGCAGAGGCGGTCAGTGCTCCGTGGCTGTCTGGAACAACTGCATCACTATGCAACCGTGGCTCTGCAGTATCCAAAGGCCATATTTCAGAAACATCGAATTGAACAGTGGAAAACCTGGATGGAAGAGCTCATATGTAACACCACAGTAGAGCGTTGTCAAGAACTCTATAGGAAGTACGTTGATCGTGCTTAATTTTCTTTATTTCTTATAGGGAGTGAAAGCAAAGTTGTATTCTGTAGCCTCAGCCTCCCTGTGCTCAGGCGATCCTCCCACTTCAGCTTCCCAAGTACCTGGGACCACCGCGCCCCAACAAGTTTTATATTTTTGTAGAGATGGCGTTTTACCATGTTGCCCAGGCTGGTCTCGAACTCCTGAGCTCAAGTGATCCTCTGCCTTGGCCTCCCAAAGTACTAGGATTTCAAGTATGAACCACAGTGCTTGGCCTCAAATGTTGACTCTGTCACACTCACCAACAAGTCTTCTTAGGAAATTGCTTAAGCTCTTGAGACATTTTTATCTATAAAATGCAAATGATGATTACTACTCTTCAAGGTGTGTATGAGGATTAAATGCAGTTTCTTGTGTATGTTGGGGGTGGTTGTGTCATAAACACGCACCTCTTTTTTATTTTTATAGATATGAAATGCAGTATGCTCCCCAGCCACCCCCAACAGTGTGTCAGTTCATCACTGCCACTGAAATGACCCTGCAGCGGTATGCAGCAGACATCAACAGCAGGCTTATTAGACAAGTGGAACGCCTGAAACAAGAAGCCGTCACTGTTCCAGTTTGTGAAGACCAGTTGAAAGAAATTGAACGTTGCATTAAAGTTTTCCTTCATGAGAATGGAGAAGAAGGATCTTTGAGTCTAGCAAGTGTCATTATTTCTGCCCTTTGTACCCTTACAAGGTGAGTTAGCAACTTCATATTGGACCATTTCCTGTGCCTTAAAATCCCAAACGTAAAACATTTTTTACTTTCCTTTGTCTTGCTCAGTGTTACAGCTGCTTGCTTTCTTTCAAATTTTAATTGTCTTTGGGCTTTATTTTTTATTTATTGAGACAGGGTCTCACTCTGTCATCCAGGCTGGAGTACAGTGGCACGATCTCAGCCCATTGCATCTTCAGCCTCCCTAGTAGCTGGGACTACAGGTGTGTGCCACCACGCCTGGCTAATTTTTTGTATTTTTTGGTAGAGATGGGGTTTTGCCATGTTGGCCAGGCTGGTCTCGAACTCCTGGCCTGAAGTCATCCACTCGCCTTGGCCTCCCAAAGTGCTGGGATTATAGGCATGAGCCCTCGAATGGGTCAGTTATCTTGTTTCGTGTATACATTTAACTAAGCTCACCATACAGATATTTATCTCTTTTAGGCGTAACCTAATGATGGAAGGTGCAGCGTCAAGTGCTGGAGAACAGCTGGTTGATCTGACTTCTCGGGATGGAGCCTGGTTCTTGGAGGAACTCTGCAGTATGAGTGGAAACGTCACCTGCTTGGTTCAGTTACTGAAACAGTGCCACCTGGTGCCACAGGACTTAGACATCCCAAACCCCATGGAAGCGTCTGAGACAGTTCACTTAGCCAATGGAGTGTACACCTCACTTCAGGTGAACACTTATAATTTATCTTAATATTATAAGTTTGTTTTATATATTGAATATTGTCTTTCTCATCTCTTTAATCCAGGGAAGCAATTTGACTTCCCCCTTTGAATGTTGTGGAAGCAGTCATTTAAAAGAAATATCATTGTGAGGTTTATAGCCATAATTTGGTTACAGTTGCAGTTCGTTTTTTTGAATTTCTGTAGCAGCTTCATTTGTAATAGTAAAAAGTGGCAGTCAAGTCAAATGTTTGTTATCAAGTGAATGGACAAATAAAATATGGTACATCCACATAATGGAATACTCAGCAATAAAAGTGAATGACCCCTTGAAACATACAGCCACATGTATGACTCTCACAATAATTATGCTGAGCAAAGAAAGCTAAACATCCCTACCCTTGTAAATGGAGAATGTATAATGTGAGAAAAAGCAGATTAAGTGTTTACTTGGAGATGAGGGAGGTGGTATGGAGAAGCATCAGTAAAAGACAGTAAAAAGAATCAGGAAGAAATTTGTAGGGTAATGGACATGCTGACTTTCTTGATTTTGCTGAGTTTCAAGATCATGCTGCAATTACCAAAGAATGCCAAATACGTTTTAAAAATGCAGTTTATTATGTGCAAATTATACCTTGATAGAGCTTTTTTTTTTTTTTTTTTTTAAATAGAAGCCACTTATAACCACACCAAAAAGAGAATAATAATACTAATGTCACTATCAAAAATATGATTTCTAAAAATTAGTAATATTATATAATGTACTTTTGGGCAGTTCCTTTTATTCTTAAGGTATGTCATTCTAGGAATGTTTAATTATATGACAACTTTTTAAAGTCATTTGAGATAGTTCCTCCTGAAAATTTTCACATGACTATAAAACAGAATTTAAAAAGAAAAAATATATATATTTTTTGAGACGGAGTTTCGCTCTTGTTGCCCAGGCTGGAGTGCAATGGTGCGATCTCGGCTCACCGCAACCTCCGCCTACTGGGTTCAGGCAGTTCTCCTGCCTCAGCCTCCTGAGTCTCTGGGATTACAGGCACACGCCACCATGCCCAGCTGATTTTTTGTATTTTTAGTAGAGACGGGGTTTCACTATGTTGACCAGGATGGTCTCGATCTCTTGACCTCGTGATTCACCCGCCTCGGCCTCCCAAAGTGCTGGGATTACAGGCATGAGCCACCGCGCCCGGCCTAAAAAGAAAATTTTTAAAAGTAGAAATAAAAAGTTAAAAAATGATGTACTTGGCCGGGCGCTGTGCTCACGCCTGTAATCCTAGCACTTTGGGAGGCCGAGGTGGGTGGATCACCTGAGGTCAGGAGTTCAAGACCAGCCTGGCCATCATGGTGAAACCCCATCTTTATTTTTTCTAAAAAAAATGATGTACTGACATGAATGAGTTGATGGCATAATTACATAAGTTTGCTCTTAAGTCTCCAAATGTGTAACTTAGCTAAACTCAAAAAAACATTAAAAATTTTTTTCTCATATTTATAGGAATTAAACTCAAATTTCCGGCAAATCATATTTCCAGAAGCACTTCGATGTTTAATGAAAGGGGAATACACATTAGAAAGTATGCTGCATGAACTGGATGGTCTTATCGAGCAGACCACTGATGGCGTTCCCCTGCAGACTCTAGTGGAATCTCTTCAGGCCTACTTAAGAAATGCAGCTATGGGACTGGAAGAAGAAACACATGCTCATTACATCGATGTTGCCAGGCAAGTGAATGCTGGCTGTACCATTTCCTCGTAAAAGAGATGGGACAGCGAGAGAAAGGGATTCTGAGCTCTTACTTTACCGTAAGTTTACTTTTAGTTTTTAGAGCAGGATGATTACATATAAATGCTCATATATGTATCTTTTAATTTTTTTTTTCCTTTTTGAGACAGTTTCACTCTATCACCCAGGCTAGAGTGTGGTGGCACGTCCTCAGCTTACTGCAACCTCGGCCTCCCAGGTTCAAGCAATTCTCCTGCCTCAGCTTCCTGAGTAGCTGGGATTATAGGCATATGCACCACACCCATCTAATTTTTTTTGTGTATTTTTAATAGAGACGGGGTTTCACCTTGTTGGTCAGGCTGGTCTCAAATTCCTGACCTTGTGATCCTCCTGCCTCTGCCTGCCAAAGTGCTGGGATTATAGACATGATCCACCACGCCCAGCCTAAAAATTTTTTTATTTTGAAATATTTACATATCACAAGAAGTTGTTTAAAAAGAAAGTGCAGGCAGGTATTGTGCACCCTTCATCCCTCCTTCAATGTTAGTATCTTGCATACCCATAGTACAGTAGCAACATTGTGAAACCAGCAGTCCATATAGCTTACTCAGATTTCACTAGTTATACATGCACTTGTGTGTGTGTGTGTGCAAGTGTATAGTTCTGTCATATACGTAATATCCTTTTAGTGCTGTGATTATGTACATGTACATATACACACTGTTGAACATGATGTTTTTAAAGCCATCTTCTAGAACCCTGTGGAGGCACTGGAAACAGTGTATTTAGCTAACAGAGTATGCACCTCACTTCAGGTGAATACTTTTAAATTAGTTTAAATATTATAAGTTTGTTTTAGATTGAATATTGTATTTTTTGTCTCTTTAGTCCAGAAAAGCAATCTGACTTTTGATCTGTAGAGTTTGGGCAGTTCCTCCAAACATGGATTGTACTCAGAGCTAAGCCCTAAGCTCCTTTGTCCCTAGTGACTCAGGGCCTCTTTTCTTTGGCATTATGTTGTCTAATTCACAGAAGAAAGTATAATTGAGAGAGTAGAAATGAATTGTAGCACCGTTTCCTCCCATGGGAAATTTCAAAGATATAAGAAAGTAGAGAAAATAGTCTCATGAACCCATGCCACCACCTTTGGTAATTATCAGCCCTGGGTCAGTCTGGTTTAAATTTACTACCCTAGTTATTTTGAAGTAAATGTTTTTTCATTCTTAAATATTAATAATGCAGGAAGTAGATATATAAAATACAAATTTATTTTTCTTGAATGTGGTGCCATTATTTCATGAAAAAAGTAGCAATAATTTCTTAATGTGAATTATCCTGCATTCAGAAATTTCCTATTTCTCATGTTTCTTTGGAGTTGCTATATTCATAGAATAAGAGAAAGTATGTAATTTTTTTTTCTTTTAAACAGAGTCTCACTCTTTTTCCCAGGCTAGAGTGCAGTGGTGCCATCTCAGCTCACTGCAACCTCCACCTCCCAGGTTCAAGCCATTTTCCTGCCTCAGCCTCCTGAGTAGCTGGGATTACAGGTGTGAGCCACTGCGCCTGGCTTGCTTTTTTTTTTTTTTTTTTTTTTTTTGAGACATAATCTGGCTCTGTTGCTCAGGCTGGAGTACAGTGACATGATCTCGGCTCACTGCAACCTCTGCCTCCCAGGTTCAAGCGATTCTGCTTCCTCAGCCTCCCGAGTAGCTGGGACTGTGGGCGTGCGCCGCAAAACCCAGCTAGAAAAAGTATAATTATTAATAGCATATACACATATCAGCTAAGTAGTGATTTAGATTATTTCTAGAACAGCTTTGTCATTTAATTTTTAGCAGTATTTAAGAAGTTAAATGCTAGATTTATACGTCTTTCTTTGGCCCTGAATTTTAGACTTCATTTTGTCTCTCTTAATATCCTATCTGGGTTCCCCTTATCCTCATGCAGAAGAATGTTCACCTAAATGTGTGCTTTGGGAAACAAGCTTTGTGCCTGGATCTATGGCAGCCTATTTGTGCCTTGTTTCAGAGAAGCTTTTTTTCAGTAAAATCTCATACTATCTTACAGCTCTTTTCCATTAGAAATTTATCTGATAGCTTAACAGTTTTAATTCTCTTAAAAATTCTTAATAGTTCCAGCCATTTGGAATAATTTCCCTATGTATGTCAGATAAGAAGTAGTGCCTGATACATGAGTGCTATGTAAGTCTTAATGATAATGTCAGGGGTGAATTTCTGAAGACCTTACATTCAAAATGTGCATAAATAAAAACCAAACAAACCCCAAGTATAGTTGGTTGTATCATATCTTGTGGTAATAGTGCAAACATACCTGACAATTTACTAGGTTCCCCAGCTTTAGAATTGTGTGATTTATGACATTTTTCAATATGGGATTTTAAATTATTTCACATTTTATGTGTAAAGTGAGACTAATCATTCAACTTTGCATAAAATTTAATCATATAACCATTGTTTTTTTTTTTTTTTGAGACGGAGTTTCACTCTTGTTACCCAGGCTGGAGTGCAATGGCGCGATCTCGGCTCACCGCAACCTCCGCCTCCTAGGTTCAGGCAATTCTCCTGCCTCAGCCTCCTGAGTAGCTGGGATTACAGGCACGCGCTACCATGCCCAGCTAATTTTTTGTATTTTTAGTAGAGACGGGGTTTCACCATGTTGACCAGGATGGTCTCGATCTCTTGACCTCGTGATCCACCCGCCTCGGCCTCCCAAAGTGCTGGGATTACAGGCGTGAGCCACCGCGCCCGGCATAACCATTGTTAATAATGAATTGGAATCATTGAAACCCTGTTGTGGTGGACGTGAAATACCATAACTCCTTCTTAATGCCAGAAAGCTTTCTAGACTTCCCATGTAGCTATGAGATGTACTGAATTTTTATGTTCCCACCAAAGGCTTTACTTTTTAGCAAAGGTTTTTAACTCCCTTTGTTTTCCTGTAGACTACTACATGCTCAGTATGGTGAATTAATTCAACCAAGAAATGGTTCAGTTGATGAAACACCCAAAATGTCAGCCGGCCAGATGCTTTTGGTAGCATTTGATGGCATGTTTGCTCAAGTTGAAACTGCTTTCGGCTTATTAGTTGAAAAGGTAAATGTGGACTTAAAAATAATGCAAGTGCTATAAAATAGTGGTTCCATATGTGAAGGGTGGAGAAATTAACTTTGTTTTCTTTCATTTACGTAGTTGAACAAGATGGAGATTCCTATAGCTTGGCGAAAGATTGACATCATAAGGGAAGCCAGGAGTACTCAAGTTAATTTTTTTGATGATGATAATCACCGGCAGGTGCTAGAAGAGATTTTCTTTCTAAAAAGACTACAGACGATTAAGGAGTTCTTCAGGCTCTGTGGTACCTTTTCTAAAACATTGTCAGGTAATATAATACCTTTAAACATGCTAGCTATAGTTATGAGGCACTATGGAAGGTGGCAGGGTAGAGCAGGCTTAATTTAATTATACATTCATGACATCTTAAATACTATAAATTAGCAGCATTATTACCTTATTTTTTCATGAAATTCTTTATAAGAAAATTTTGCTTTTTGTAGGATCAAGTTCACTTGAAGATCAGAATACTGTGAATGGGCCTGTACAGATTGTCAATGTGAAAACCCTTTTTAGAAACTCTTGTTTCAGTGAAGACCAAATGGCCAAACCTATCAAGGCATTCACAGCTGACTTTGTGAGGCAGCTCTTGATAGGACTACCCAACCAAGCCCTCGGACTTACACTGTGCAGTTTTATCAGTGCTCTGGGTGTAGACATCATTGCTCAAGTAGAGGCAAAGGACTTTGGTGCCGAAAGCAAAGTTTCTGTCGATGATCTTTGTAAGAAAGCGGTGGAACATAACATCCAGGTTGGAAAGTTCTCTCAGTTGGTTATGAATAGGGCGACTGTGTTAGCAAGTTCTTACGACACTGCCTGGAAGAAGCATGACTTGGTGCGAAGGCTGGAAACCAGTATTTCTTCTTGTAAGACAAGCCTGCAGCGGGTTCAGCTGCATATTGCCATGTTTCAGGTAAGTATTTTTCTTTTTTCGTTTTTAAGACAGAGTCTCACTCTGTCACCCAGTCTGGAGTGCAGAGGTGCGATCTCAGCTCACTGTAACCTTTGCATCCCAGGTTCAAGCGATTCTGCCACAGCCTCCTGAGTAGCTGGGATTACAGGCAAGCACCACAATGCCCAGACGGTTTTTGTATTTTAGTAGATACGGAGTTTCGCGATGTTGGTCAGGTTGGTCTCGAACTCCTGACCTTGTGATCTGCCTGCCTAGGTCTCCCCAAAGTGCTGGGATTACAGGCGTGAGCCACCGCGCCTGGCCAACTGTTTTTCTTTATAATGTGTTTTTCCTCAAGGTAGGAAACTTGAAAAACTGGGAAAATTAATATAAAATAATACAAAGAATTTTTTTTTAACTTCCTGAACTGATGCCGTCCCAATGCAAATGCAGCATAGCATTTTGGCGCTTTCTTTCCAATGATACTTCACTTCTCTTCTCTATAGTTGAGATCATTTAGCCTTTATGGTTTGTGTTCTTAGAATTTATTTCCATCAGGGTTGTATAATAAGCATGGTCTGTATTATTAAATATTGCTCATAAATACGGTTTTTTTGGCCAGGCATGGTGGCTCATGCCTGTAATCCCAGTACTTTGGGAGGCTGAGGTGGGTGGATCATGAGGTCAGGAGTTTGAGACCGTCCTGGCCAACATGGTGGAAACCTGGCTGTACTAAAAATACAAAAAATTAGCCAGGCTTGGTGGCCAGTGCCTGTAGTCCCAGCTACCCAGGAGGCTGAGGCAGGAGAATCACTTGAACCTGGGAAGCGGAGGTTTCAGTGAGCTGAGATCGCATCACTGTATTCCAGCCTGGCAACAGAGCGAGCGAGACTCCATCTCAAAAAAAAAAAAATATAAAAAAAAAGACAGCCTTATGGAAAACAGTAAAATTCCTTTGAATTTTTAAAAATCTGAACACATTTTAAATTCAAATCACAATTTATAGTTTTTAAATTGTAGCCCAAATGTCCCTTGGGACTTCTGGGGTCACCATTGCAACGTAATAGATGACTTGAGCCTCTTGCTAGTTGCCTGCTACTTTCTGTCACTTTTAGGTTCTGTGTTGAAACAGTCCTTTTTTCTGTTAACTGCTGCCATCTTTTTTTTTTTTTTTTTTTTTTCCCCACTCTCCTGCTCAGACTTTGTGCTGGACAACATCCCCACTCCACCTAAACAGGGTCTCACTCTGTCACTTAGACTGGAGTGTAGTGGCATGATCATGTCTCACTGCTACCTTGACCATTCCTCCCACCTCAGCCTCCCAAGTAGCTTGGAATAAATGTGTGTAGCCACTATGCCTGGCTAATTTTTGTATTTTTTGTAGAGATGAGGTTTTACCATGTTGCCCAGGCTGGTCTTGAACTCCTGGACTCAAGCAATCCACCCACCTTGGCCTCTTTCAAAGTGCTGGGATTACAGGTGTGAGCTATCAAATTAGGCCTGCTCTGTATTCTTAACTAAAGATTGTCTTTATAGGAGATTGTGTATTAGACTTTTAGATTCTCTACTGAATGTCTTCAGAATTCCTATTTAAATGTTGCATGTTAGTGGTCCAAGGAATTTATCAACTATGCTCCACCTCAAGAAGACTTTTCACCTGGATGTGATTTTTTTCAGAATGTGTCTTTCTGTTACTTTCCTCTGGTCACCTCCCATTGCCTGCAGCTGGGATTTTTTCTCTTCCCCACAATCTAGGTTGTACCTCCCTTCCCTTATTTATCTAAAGGCTTTTTCCTGCTGATTTTATTACATTTCTTTTTCTTTGAACAGTGGCAACATGAAGATCTACTTATCAATAGACCACAAGCCATGTCAGTCACACCTCCTCCACGGTCTGCTATCCTAACCAGCATGAAAAAGAAACTGCATACCCTGAGCCAAATTGAAACTTCTATTGCAACAGTTCAGGTGTGTTTTGTTAGATCTTCCTTCTGGGGCATCTTTCTTTTAAAAATAACCAACACTATGATTATTAGTGTTCTCTTGTTCAGTGTGTCTATGTGTGTGTCCTTGGCTTCTGAGCCAGAAGAGCATACTCCTTTTGACTTTGAGTTTTAATTTGTGTGTGTGTGTGTGTGTGTGTGTTTCTTAATGTGTATTAATGTGTATATACATATCTTCTTTTTTGAGACAGAGTCTCGCTTTGTTGCCCAGGCTGGAGTGCAGTGGCAGTGTCTTGCTTCACTGTAACCTCCATCTCCTGGGTTCAAGCTATTCTCCTGCCTCAGCCTCTCCAGTTGCTGAAACTCCTGGCATACACCACCATGCCCAGCTAAGTTTTGCATTTTTAGTAGAGACAAGGTTTTACCATGTTGGCCAGGCTGATCTGGAACACCTGACCTCAAATGATCCACCTACCTTGGCCTCCCAAAGTGTTGGGATTACAGGCATGAGCCACCATGCCTGGCCTCTTTTTTATTTCTCACCCTCCAAGGTAACTGAATCTTGTAGCAGGTATATTTTGAACCAGGAGTAGAAACATACTAAATATCTCAGGTTTTTAATAAATTTGATAATTACTGTGCCTTAATACGTTAAGGAAACCTTGGTGATTAGAAAAACTTTTGAATACTTAATTTGTTTTGTGAAATGCATAGAAGTAGTTCTATTTTGTTTATTATTGTACCTAAGAAGCATGGGCATTTCTTATGTTGTACAGATAATGGAACGTTTTGATGCCTAAGGCAGCAGAATATTTTTCTGAACTATTATTTTTGACTAGACATCGAAAGCTAAATATATAATGCTTCTACTTCTTTTTATATATAAGAGAAACTGGCCTTGATGAAGGTTATATATATCTTTATATTGCCTGTCCTTTATACTTCATGTACTCAGTAGTAACTGACATTTTTCTCTTTTTGTAAGTTAATAGCTGTTTAAAATTAAGTCTCATCACTTCTGTGATATTTTAAAGTTTTGCAATGAAGGTTTTTTGGAGCTCTGTTCTTTGAAGATTAAAATAAGCTTTCTCTACAGTGTATTGGTCAGAGAATAGATATGTTTTCAACTTAAAAGAATGGACTCTTCCTCTTTATGTATGATTTGAGAGACATGGCCATGAAGGAAAGTAGAGGGCATTGGGGAAACAAAATGTAAATGCCTCCACCTGAAATGTTGAATAAATAATCAGATAACTTTGTTACATGAAACTTTCCTTGTCATGATAATCTGGATGGATTTTTACCATTATTCATAAACTTGGCCAGGCATGGTGTGGTTCACACCTGTAATCCCAGCACTTCGGGAGGCCGAGGCTGGTGGATCGCTTCAGGCCAGCCTGGGCAACTTAGTAAAACCTTGTCTCCAGAAAAAATACAAAAAATTAGAGGTGGCGTGCACCTCTCGTCCCAGCTGCTCGGGGCTGAAGTGGGAGGATAGCTTGAGCCCAGGAGGTGGTGGTTGCAGTGAGCCAAGATCATGCCACTGCACACCAGCCTGGCAATAGAGCCAGACCTTGCCTCAATAATTTTTTTTTGTTTGTTTCAACAAGTTAGTAAACAAACTTACGAATTGGTAGAAATCTAATTTTTATCTGTCTCAAGCTAAACGATAAATGGAGGGGTGCTTGTGGTGGCTATAATTCCAGCACTTTGGGAGGCTGAAGTGGGCAGATCACCTGAGGTCAGGTGTTCAAGACCAGCCTGGCCAACATGGTGAAACATGGTCTCTACTAAAAATACAAAAATTAGCCAAGCGTGGTGGCCGGTGCCTGTAATTCAACTACTGAGGAAGCTGATGCAGGAGAATCACTTGAACTTGGGAGGTGGAGGTTGTAGGGAGCCAGAATCGTGCCACTGCACTACAGCATGACAGAGCAAGACTCCATCTCGAAAGAAAAAATGTATAAATGGATTTTCTTACAGATAGCATGTAGAGCTCAGTAAGAATTTGGCATAGCAAAGTTTTTGTTTTTTAAAGATCATTTTATTTTAAAATGAAAGCGAAACTTCCTTCTTTACATTTTAAGATAATAATCTGAAAGCTAGTTCTTACCTCTCCAGATATGTTTGGCCTTAAATGTTCGAAGTGAAATCAAGGTTAATTCGAAAAGGTGATTGTTAAAAGCTTTTGTTTTCTGAATTACATATGTCTGCCCTGGTTCTTTTGAATCTTTATTGTGTTATATAAAATATTGCACAGATAGGAAGTAGAGAATATCGTATACATTAAGGTTCTGCTGACTTTTTATAGGAGAAGCTCGCAGCACTTGAAGCAAGTATTGAACAGCGACTCAAGTGGGCAGGTGGTGCCAACCCTGCACTGGCCCCTGTGCTACAAGATTTTGAAGCAACAATAGCTGAAAGAAGAAATCTTGTCCTTAAAGAGAGCCAAAGAGCAAGTCAGGTATTGTGACTCACATGTACCATCTTTGTATTCACTTATAGGATAGATGAGTAGCTGAAAGTTATATATGTGGGGCAATCAGGGGAGCTTGAGAGCCCATGTTCTGGTTCACAGCACTGAGAGGAGGGACTGATGGGCCTTTCAGGGCATGCTTTAAGTTGAACCCACAGCTCCTTATTTTCCTGGGGCTTCACCGCCTCCCATTTAAAAATTAATTAAGTGAATTCAGCTTCTGTGGAAAAATAAACAGGATTTATATTCATATTTGTTTAAGATTCTCAGGTTTTCTTTTATGCAAGTAAAGTGATCCAAACATTTGGAAAGGTACTTTGAATATTATTTTTTCTGCATGACAATAAAACGTCTTAAGACCTTGTACTCTGTCAAGAGGCTGTGGACTGGGCAGTGGGAGGAGAACCAAAAAAATTATGGACATTTTCAACTAAGTACAAAATTGTACTAATACATTATACCCACCCATACATCATACATTATTAAGTTAATAATGATCAACTTAAGTCTGTCTTATTTCACCCATACTCCCTAATCCTCCTTTCTGTGCACATTTAATAGAAATCCCAAATAGTACATAATTTTATCTATAAATATTTCAGCATATACCTATTAAGAACTATTTAAAAATGTATCATAGCTGGACATGGTGATATGTCCCTTTAGCTCTAGCTACTCAGAAGGCTGAAGCAGGAGAATGGCTTGAAGCTAGAAGTTTGAGATTAGTCTGGGCAACATAGCAGGACCCTATCTCGACCAATTTTGTTTTTTTTTTGAGACAGAGTTTCGCTCCTGTTTCCCAGGCTGGAGTGCAATGGCGTGATCTTGACTCACTGAAACTTCCACCTCCTGAGTTCAAGTGAGTCTCTTGCCTCAGCCTCCTAAGTAGCTGGGATTACATGTGCCCGCCACCACAGCCAGCTAATATTTTTTGTATATTTAGTAGAAATGGGGTTTCACCATGTTGGCCAGGTTGGTATTGAACTCCTGACCTCAGATGATCCACCCACCTCAACCTCCCAAATTGCTGAGATTATAGGCATGAGCCACTGCGCCTGGCCAAAAAAATGTTTTATTTTTTAGCTAGGCATGGCAGCACGTACCTCTAGTCCCAGCTACCTGGGAGACTAAGGCGAGAGGATTGCTTGAGCCCAGGAGTTTAAGGGTATAGTGAGCCATAATTAAGCCATTGAACTCCAGCCTGGGCAATAGAGAGACCCTGTCTCAAAGGAAAAGAAAACCAAACTAACCACCACAATAATTAATCATACCTTTAAAATGACCTTAATATTGCCAGATAAGTTAGGCAAGAATAAAAGCAGAAGGGGAACATTCTGACAGAATTGTCTTCTGAATTTTGGATGTAACAAATTGTAGCTGAATATGTTAACAGCTTTGTTGTGGAGTAAATTTTCTATGTAAAAACAATCATGTAGAAGATAATGTTTACCTGAGGTCGGGGGTGGTGGCTCATGCCAGTAATCCCAGTACTTTGGGAGGCCGAGTGGGGTGGATCATGAGGTCAGGAGTTCAAGACCATCCTGGCCAACATGATGAAACTCCGTCTCTACTAAAAATAGAAAAATTAGCCAGGTGTGGTGGTGGGTGCCTGTAATCCCAGCTACTTGGGAAACTGAGGCAGATAATTGCTTGAACCTGGGAGACGGGGATTGCAGTGAGCCGAGATAATGCCGCTGCACTGTAGCCTGGGAGACAGAGTGAGACTCTGTCTCAAAAAAATAAAAAAATAAAAAGATACATTGACCTAATTGTTCTTTAGTGCTTTTGGCCATCTCAGACCTAATGGCATCAATACAAATGTACATTTATTTGTAGTCTGTATAAGGTTTTGGTCTGTTTCCCAAAAGAGTCATACATTTTCAGGACCAGTTCTGATCCTGAATTCTCAAAATGAGGAAGTGTAGTATATTTTCCTGTTATTAATTGCCACCTCCCTTCCCCATCTTCCCCCCATCTCCCCTTGTGGTTCCATTTCTGTCTTCACAGGTCACTTTTCTCTGCAGCAATATCATTCATTTTGAAAGTTTACGAACAAGAACTGCAGAAGCCTTAAACCTGGATGCGGCATTATTTGAACTAATCAAGAGATGTCAGCAGATGTGTTCATTTGCGTCACAGTTTAACAGTTCAGTGTCTGAGTTAGAGCTTCGTTTATTACAGAGAGTGGTGAGTCTTGGTGGATGTAAACTTGATTAAAGCTAATGTGATACTATCAAAACCAATTTAATATATTCATTTCGTTTACATTTATTGAGCATATAATCTATGCTCATATAATGTATATTATGGAGGCGGGGGGGGCGGGAACAGTGATGATTAAATTGTCCTCTTAGCCCCCTGCCCCCAGAACCTATTATATGTTTAAAAATATAAAAAATGAGAACGTGTAAAGGATCCTCAGAGCTACAACCAGAATATCACAAAAATTTAAAAGGGAGGAGAAAGATGATTTATAGCAAATGATTCAAATACATCGAAAATAGAGTAGGAGATGGAGGGCTTATGGAAGATGAATATTGGAAAGGTTAGTGATGGCCTAAAATAGCAAGCTGGTTAATTTGAGGTTTATATTTTGTTAGAAAGCTTAAAGCTGCATGTTAGAAAGTTCACATTTCTTCTCTAAGATTTACTTAGAATTTAGGGACCTGGATTGCCAGTCATGTTTGTGATTCCGAATGTGTTTCTCAGGTCTTAAACTTTTAAGCATTTATACCCTGAATGATTATGCAGAAAAGTAAAAATCTTCATCTGTTTTTCATAGATTATTGAGATTACTGTTAAGTAACTTGTAGGTAATTAATTCATGACTTAGCAACGGAGGGTTCTCTTTTTGTCAGCTTGAGTTACTAATATCTTTTGATGATGATTATGAAGAAAGGACTCATTATTTCAGCTGATACTTGAAGTTAAACAAATGTTCGTTCTATTTAGGACACTGGTCTTGAACATCCTATTGGCAGCTCTGAATGGCTTTTGTCAGCACACAAGCAATTGACCCAGGATATGTCTACTCAGAGGGCAATTCAGACAGAGAAAGAGCAGCAGATAGAAACGGTCTGTGAAACAATTCAGAATCTGGTTGATAATATAAAGATTGTGCTCACTGGTCATAACCGACAGCTTGGAGATGTCAAACATCTCTTGAAGGCTATGGCTAAGGTAAGACTAATGCCGTGAACACACATTCACTCTCTGTTATAAAATTTACAAGCAGTTTTATTTATAAGAAAAAGAGTGACATTTTGTAAATAACAATTTATCTCATCACATCTTTCAATTTGTTTGTAACTGAGTTAACTTGTGTTTTCATAAACTATTTTTTAAAGCCAGTAGTAGTAGTTTGAATTTCATACACAGAAAAACTGAGGCTTAAATAGATTCCTTTATTGTGATATAACTTACAACAAAACCAAGATATGAACCTAGTGTGAGCATTCAGATATCCGGCCTTTCTCCTTCTTAGCTGTATTAGCAGACCATACAGTTTGCCTCCAAAATGAATGAAATGTCTCTTTCCTTCAGTGTTGAACACAGTCTAGTTAGTAAGAAAACTAAGCCTCCAGAAAAGGCTATTACTTCATCATTACAAGCAGTAAATAATTTAATTTTAGAATTTACTTTGAATTTTTATTTGATGGTGGAAACAAAGTTCCTATAAAAAAGGAGTTGAACTGGTTGGGCACTGTGGCTCTCGCCTGTAATCCCAGCACTTTGGGAGGCTGAAGGGGACGGATCATCTGAGGTCAGGAGTTTGAGACCAGCCCGAACAACATGGAGAAACCCAGTCTCTACTGAAAAATACAAGATTAGCCGGGCCTGGTGGCACCTGCGTATAATCCCAGCTTGGGAGGCTGAGGCAGGAGAATTGCTGGAACCCAGTAGGTGGAGGTTGCGGTGGGCCGAGATTCCGCTATTGTACTCCATCCTGGGCAACAAGAGTGAAGTATAATAAGCTGTTTAAACACACTCATATTTGAAACACTTGTTACTTCTTAATTACCAGGTGACTGTCTTGAGAGTAGTTACTGATACACTGTTTTTCTTAATCATTAATGTATCAATTCTAGGATGAAGAAGCTGCTCTGTCAGATGGTGAAGATGTTCCCTATGAGAACAGTGTTAGGCAGTTTTTGGGTGAATATAAATCATGGCAAGACAACATTCAAACAGTTCTGTTTACATTAGTCCAGGCTATGGGTCAGGTTCGAAGTCAAGAACATGTTGAAATGCTCCAGGAAATCACTCCCACCTTGAAAGAACTGAAAACACAAAGTCAGAGGTAAGAATGCCTTTTGGTCAAAATTAATAAAATATAAACACAAAACTACTTGTATAGATTTGTCTTTTAATTTAATTTTTGTGTTTTTTTTTTTGCATTTTTATAAGTAGTTATCAGGTAAAACATTTCATAAATAAGCCATTTTATTTTGTATTTCAGTATCTATAATAATTTAGTGAGTTTTGCATCACCCTTAGTCACCGATGCAACAAATGAATGTTCGAGTCCAACGTCATCTGCTACTTATCAGCCATCCTTTGCTGCAGGTAGGAGAAGAGTCCTGAATCTTGATCTGTTAATAATGTTACACATAGATGCTAAGATGTTTAATTATACATATAAAACTGTGTAATATTAAAAGCCCTGTCGTTCTATAATCTTGAACTGGACAGATTTTGGCTTATCCTTAAAAATACTCATGTGAGCCAGATGTTCAAGATCCTATCTCTTTAAAAATAAATAAATAAACAGGTATTTAAAAAAAAAAAAAAAGCCAGGTGAGGTGGCTAACTCCTGTAATCCCAGCACTTTGGGAGGACAAGGCAGGCGGATCACGTAATGCCAGGGATTCACAACCAGCCTGGCCAACATGGTAAAACCTCATCTCTACTAAAAATAAATTAAAAAATAAATAAATAAGTAAATAAATAGCTGGGCATGGTGGCATATGCCCTTTGTCTTGGCTACTTGGGAGGCTGAGGCAGGAGAATCACTTGAACCTGGGAGGTGGAGATCGAACTACTGTACTCCAGCCTGGGTGACAGAGCAAGACTTTGTCTCAAAACAAAACAACTCGTGAGAGAGTAAAAATGCCTTGTATTTGAATACGTTTCTTAAAATATATCGCTTTTATTTTTTTTTTGAGGCGGAGTCTCTCTCTGTCGCCCAGGCTGGAGTGCAGTGGCACAACTGTGGCTCACTGCAACCTCCACCCACTCCCAGGTTCAAGTGAATTTCCTGTTTTAAGCCTTCCAAGTAGCTTGGATTACAGGTGCCTGCCACCAGGCCTGGCTAAAAAGTTTTTTATGATTTTGAAATATATATCTATAAGCAAACCTTAGGAAAATACTTAATACAAATGAAAAATGTGTAGTTTCATTCCAAATAGAGGCAAAAACCACTCTGCATTTGTTGATTTACTTCTCTGTGCATATGCACACAAACATATTGGGATGTATGCAAATGCAATTTTTGTTGCCTTTTTCCAGTTAATAATTTCTCAGTCATTAAATAACCTTTTAAAAAATGACTTAATGGCCAATTTAATTTTATTTTTTATTTTATCTTTTTTTTTTTTTTTTTTTGGGAGACTGAGTCTCACTCTGTCACCCAGGCTGGAGTGCAGTGGTGTGATCTCAGTTCACTGCAACCTCCACCTTTGGGGTTCAGGAGATTCTTTCTCCTCAGCCTCCCAAGTAGCTGGAATTATAGGCACCTGCCACCACACCTGGCTAATTTTTATATTTTTATAGAGACATGATTTTGCCATGTTGGCTAAGCTGTTCTCAAAACTGCTGACCTCAAGTGATCTGCCCACCTCGGCCTCCCAAAGTGCTGGGATTACAGTTGTGAGCCACTGTGCCCGGCTGATATTTATGGTTTTCGATGGCACAAGCCTAGTAAACATCATTGTACAAATTCATACCTGAATGTCTGTTTTTAGGTTCTATTTTTAGGAAGACAATTTCTGTGTCAATGGATAAGGATTTATAGTTGATTATTTAATTTGGGGCATTAATCACTACCACCAATCCCATGTGCTCTCCACTTTGCCCCCTCCATGTTCTGTTTACGTGTAAATTGAGCCACCAACTGTTTCTCTGTAGCAGTCCGGAGCAACACTGGCCAGAAGACTCAGCCTGATGTCATGTCACAGAATGCTAGAAAGCTGATCCAGAAAAATCTTGCTACATCAGCTGATACTCCACCAAGCACTGTTCCAGGAACTGGCAAGAGTGTTGCTTGTAGTCCTAAAAAGGCAGTCAGAGACCCTAAAACTGGGAAAGGTAATTAGTTAGAATAAAGATGCCTTAAATTGTTATATAAAATGATGGTTTGACTTAACGTATGCTTTTGTTGCTTCATAGCGGTGCAAGAGAGAAACTCCTATGCAGTGAGTGTGTGGAAGAGAGTGAAAGCCAAGTTAGAGGGCCGAGATGTTGATCCGAATAGGAGGATGTCAGTTGCTGAACAGGTGACCGTGTTTTAAACTTGGGCTACACATTTTAATGCTGCTCGAAAAGTAGAGGTTTATAAAGCTCCCTCTCATCCATTTCCTTAGTGGTTTATCAAGGAACTTAAATGTATTTTCAGGATTCAGAAGATTTTGAGTAACACAGCTCTGGAGCTGTCAAGTAGTCACCATTTTACTCTGACCCTTCCCTATGAGCACTTTCTTTTTCCCTAGCCCTGTTTTAGCCAAAATATAAGTCTGATCCTCCTCTACCAGACTACAGTTAATTTCCATGTAAAGAAGACTGTTGAAGCTTTCAAATGAAATGTCAAGGACGCTTTGGGTTGCAGGTGTAGTGTGAGTGGAGCATCGCTAATTAGAAAATCAAATGCTATAAATCTGAAACATTTTGAGTGTTGACATGATGCCATAAGTGGAAAATTCCATGCCTGACCATGTGATGGATCCCATTAGTGAGAACCTAGTCAGAACCTTGTTTCATGTGCAAAATAACTGAAAATGTATAAAATTACCCTCAGGCTATGTGTATAAGGTATATATGAAGCATAGGTAGATTCCATGTGCAGACTTGCATCCCACTCCCAAGTTCCTCATTATATACATGTATATATTTCAAAATCTCAAAGAATTCCAAATCTAAAACTACAGGTTCCAAGCATTTTGGATAAGGAATACTCAACTTATATTTGTAAAGCATCTTTGTACGCTCCCTTTTGCTAATGGCAACATTTATCTGAAGTCATTGCTCTGAAATTTTTTTATTAGTCTTACTAATATTGAATATATAAATTTGAGAATATCCATCCCCAGCTCCAGCTATTTATTAAAAAAATTTTTTAAGCTACAGAAAAGTTGTAGAAATGCCCATAAACTTTTTACCTAGACTTACCAGTTAAGATTTTTTTCATGTTTCATTGTTCTCTCTCTGTGTGTATACACACAAAGTTTTTCTGAACAATTTGAGGGTCCTTTGCGGGTATCTTAACACTTTATGCCTAAATACTTTACCATATGTATCTTGAACAAAATACTATAATACTGTAGCTACTATATAATTGTCAACTCAGGAAACTTAACATTGATGTAATACTATTATCTAACATTCAATCCACATTCAGATTTCTCCAATGACCTCAAAGTGTCCTTTATTGCTTATTCCTCCTGTCTGAACCCCCGGTTCCCCGCATCTCCAAGATCTAGTCAAAGATCATTGTGCATTTTTGTATATAGATAGATGGTGCGCCCCTTAAGATGTATGACATCCCAATAAATCCATCGTAAGTCTAAAATGCATTAATACCCTGATAAACCCATGTTGAAGTTACAAATGGTCATGCGGACCCATTGTGAGTCAGGGACTCTCCATCCTTGTCCTACTTCTTGTTCTGCTTTAATACGTAGAACAGTTCCTAAGCCTTTCCCTCTTCCTTTCCCTGGATAGTTTTGGTGTGTCTAGATTAGCTGGTTTGCAGAATGTGCCTCCATTTATATTTGTCTGATATTTTCCTCATAATTCAATTATTGTTTTAGAAGGAATACAACGTCAGTGATGTTTCTTTCTCAGTATATTACATCAAGAGACACATCAGTTTGTGCCATCTTTGATGGTGATAAATTAGGTCATTTGGTCAAGAATGGTATCCTCTTGATGTCTCCATTATAAATGTACATTTTTCTGTGGGATAAAAATTAAGAGACTGAATATCCTGTTTGATAGTTTGGCATCTGTAATTAAATTTTAACATCAGCAACAAATTTTTTTTTTTTCTTTTAAACACTCATGTTCTTTATAGGACCTAGACTTAAACTCTTCTTGGGCAAGATTTTTTTTTTTTGTTTTCTTTAAAGAAACCGTTTTGTCAGGTTTGTCAAAACTGTGAAAGATGTTCCGAGTTAGGGATATTTTGACTTCAGAAACATTCTGGTAGGTTAATGGATTGTGTGCTTTTCAAATCTTTATAACCGTCTGTCTTAGCTCTCTGTCTTTTTAAAGAATACTTGGCTATTGTGCTTTTTATTCTGATAGTTATTAAATTTTATATGAAAATTAAGGGGCTTCCAGGAGCGCGGTAAGTATAGAGTCCTTTGCACATAACTTTTGGCATAGATTGTAATTCAGCAGACAATTCAGAAGTTTTAAATGACTTTCAATACTATGCTGCCTATTTTTACAGGTTGACTATGTCATTAAGGAAGCAACTAATCTAGATAACTTGGCTCAGCTGTATGAAGGTTGGACAGCCTGGGTGTGAATGGTGAGATAGTAGATGAGTCTGGTTAAGCGAGGTCGGACATCCACCAGAATCAACTCAGCCTCAGGCATCCAAAGCCACACCACAGTCGGTGGTGATGCAACTGGGGGCTTACTCTGAGGAAACCTAGGAAATCTCGGTGCACTAGGAAGTGAATCCTGCAGGACAGCTGCACTCAGGGATACTCCCAACACCATGGCCTGCAACCCCAGGGTCAAGGGTGAAGGAAAGCAAGCTCACCGCCTGAACACGGAGATTGTCTTTCTGCCACAGAACAGCAGCAAACGTGTCAGGAGGTTAGCTGCAGAAAGAAATCGGGATGCCACGGAGCACAGAGTGATTTGGAACTCCATTCCACCTGACCCTGTGTGTACAATCCAGGAAAAAACAAATCCCGTTCAGAAACAGAGAAAACTGGGGCCGCGAAGAAATCACAGCCAAGGAAGATTTGATGCATTCAGATTCTCGTGTAACACTTGTTGCCTGGCAACAGTACTGGTTGGGTTGACCAGTAAGTACAAACAGGCTAAAGGCTATGCGATACGAATTTCAGAAATGGACTGAAAATGGAGAGCTATGTAACAGATACACTACAGTGGAAGAACTTATTCTGAAATGAAGGGAAAAAAACCACCCCATCATTCCCTGCTCCTTCCCACCACTTACCCGTTCCCTCTTTACCTAATCTGGAGTAGATTAGCCATCTTTCAAATTCACTTTTATTTCAATCCTTGTATTTCATATACTTCCGTCTTGATGCTGTTAACAACTTCTGATAACATGGAAACTTCAAGGATTGTTTAAAGGTCTGATGATCACACACAAAATGTAATTCTGGTTATTTAAGTCATTTGTGATTCTATCATGTACAGTTTCCAGAATCGTCACTGTGCATTAAAAAGTAATGAATCTAACAGACATTTGATTTAATGTACACTCCCTTTTGCTTATGGTGTGCATTTTTTGGGGAGGTCATTCAAATTTTCCCTCTTATGCGGTAGCTGTAGTTTCTTTCATAGAAAGTAGCTAATACAGTGTAATCTTTTACCTTTTTAAAAACCAGGATAGAGTATCTATTAGAGTTTTACACTGTTGATGGTAGATTAACAATAAAGTGATGTTCTGGTGGAGGTAGACTGAAATTTTTTTTTAATTCATTTTTTTTCATTTGATACTTTTAATTTATCAAGTGTAAATTAAAAGTTCTTTAGTTTACTTAGCATTTTAGTACATGTACGTGAAACATCAGCAAAAATGAGATCCACCAACATCTTTTAAGTTCAGTTATTAGTCTGTGAAGTGCTTTACGTTTTGCACAATTTTAATAGCTTGTTAATCAGTAATACATTATAGTGAATTCATGATCAAGGTTTCCTTAAATTTAGCATTGCATTTCATTACTGTGTAAGCTAAATTGTTGATCCAATATAAAAATCCAGACTAGAATAGGGTTCGTAAAATCACGTATCAACACAAAATAGAATTAAAATCTTAATTGAGTACATTTTCCCTGCATTTTAGAGATAAGGACAGTGGTCACTTTCTAGTTGCCAGTCTTCACAGACAAAAGGTATTAAGGAAAAAGTTCCACATAGCTCTGGGCCTTTTCTGTATCTGATTGCCACTTTAATCTGTAATCTTTACCCATGAAAGAATGTGTTTCAGTATCCGTGCTTTCTTAACACTTTAATAAGTATTGTAGGCAGGGTGGATTTTTTGAAATACTCATGTGTCCGATAGCAAGTTAAGGAACCTAGCGCATCAAATTTTGTTTTCTTCATTCATTTGGAACCCTTATTTTCACAATCAAAACAACCTAGCTGGAATAATAATGCCATATTGTATTTTGCATGCTGCTTTATTTCCTAGAGGCTCTGGGAGCAAATTACATTTATTACATTACCTCTGCTTTCAGCAACATTCTTTATTGTCATCATAAGGAAAAACTTTTATCGCAGTGATGAAACCAGTTCACACTAGTTTATCACTGTAGATAGTATTCAGAAATTGCTTCTTCTTTAGTAAGGAAGATAAATGAAATAGGTGAATTTTATTGCCTGTGTTTTCAGGCTTCAGAGGTACCTGGCACCTTACCCAAGCGAAAACAAAAAACAGCTTTACTTCAAAAGCATGTGCCTCTGGTAAATTATCCATCACTTTTGTTTTACAGTGGTCCCTCCAAGAATAATGTGGCATACACAATGGGTTTGATTGTAAGGCAGATTTAATAGATGACTTCAAAAGCCTGCTCTTTACTGCACTCTGGACAAGACCCTGGTCTGTATAGTTTGGCTTCCTCTGTTAAGCCATTCTACGAGGTGACTTGCCATTTGAACTTTTATAAGAGACCTCAGCAGTTAGACTGAGAAAAGTTAGAGTGCTGTAGTTATGAAGTCATACATTTTTGATAACACAAAATACCTGGGAAAACCAGGGATCCTCTCCTCCCCCTCTCTCTCTCTCTCTCTCTCTCTCTCTCTCTCTCTCTCTCTCTCTCTCTCTCTCTCTCCCTCCCTCCCCCTCTCATTCACACACACTTCCCCCTTTCCCTCCATTCCTCTGTCCCCTCTCCACCCCCCCTTCTCTAAGATTCAGGGGGTACAGAATAACCTACAAACAACCTCTTCAAAGTACCCTTGGAAACTGAAGTTCAATCTTAAGGTTTTTGTTGTCTTTAATTTACTAGAATTGCCTAATTTTTAGTTGATTTCTCTACAGAGCTGTGGAGGCTTAGCTTGTGTAGTTATTTCTCTTTTACTGTTGCTTTGGTATGTCTTGAAGTTTCTGATTATTTTTGGTCATTGAGTTCTTAGTGTAGTTTGCTAGATTATTAAGATTATTTTGTGTCTGACACTTGTGGTGAGTTGTTTTTGAGATCTGTTGAGATTTCCATGTGAGAATGATAATCAGGCTCTTGATCTGCTTCCCTAAATTGCTTCTTTTAGAGCCCAAACCCCAGGTTCAGGGTGAGGGTTTGTAATACAAAGAAAAACTTCCATCACTTCTGCCCTTTAACCTTGCCTCTATTACCTAAGCTTAGTAAGTAGTTTTCTTAATATTGTCCCATGTTTGGTGTTATCTGCATTGTTTTTTGTTTTGTTTTTTAATTGTGGTTGTTCTGACGTGTGAAATTTAAGGAAAGAGCCATTTTTTAAAATGCCGAGCAGGGCAATGCAAGTACAGCCAAATATTAGACTTGATGTGCAATCTTAGGTCCTTTTTAATCTGGGGTATTATAGGCAGTACTTTAAATTGAGAAGTCTTCCTGGCCTATTTTCCTCCACATTTTTGTAATTAACTCTGGGGGCTTACTTGTTTTGGCAGTACTAAAATCAAAGGAGCTGGTTCTTCTTTTCTCTCAATTATTTTCATATGAAAGCACCTACGATTAGCCTGTTAGTCCTATTCAGATACATCAAATACCAGTGAATGCTTTACTATTAGCACATTTAAGTGTGCTAATAGTACACTTTGTTTTACATAGAGTATGCATTTTATATCTTGTTGAGCTTGTAAAATGCCAGCGATTTAAAACTAGGACTTTCCCCCCTCCTTAAGCCAAGGAGGAAGAATTACTAATACAAGTGTTAAAGAAGGTAGATTTTGTTTTCAGTATTTGGGTAGTATTAGAAAGATTTCTCCCACATGGAAGAGCTAGTAAGTGTCCCAAATTTTTCAAAACGTTGGGGAGGGGGAAATTCACTGTATTAAGAAACCCTAAGGGTTTGTTGCACTTCCTGCTTTTTAGGTCTGGATAACAATATCACCATCCTTATTTACAGAAGGGCAAAACTGACTCTTAATGAGAAAAGCTTTATAAGTTCAAGGGCTGCAAAACATGAACCACTTAGGGTCCTTTGCTTTCCATGGGAATTTGGCTGGACTTGGTAGAAAAAGTTGTTTGTTGCGCTAATGTAAAAGTGTCATACAATTAAGTAGATTTTTGAAGATGGTAAACTTAAAAGAATTCTATGTTGTTCTGAAATGCAGACTTTTGGAATGTTTTTATTTGAAAACAGGCTAATAGTTTTTTTCTTTTCTTGACAGTCAAGGTTTCAGCTCCTCTTGAAAGTTGTGTCATTTTCTGGTTTAAATTTCCCTTATATTTCCACCTGTAATGTCAGTGGCAACAACATCATACTTCACTTACTTGTTAATTTACTTTTACCCTTATTCTAAGAGCAAGTTGAGTTGAACTGAATCTTCCTTGTCCTAGTAACACTGTATAAATAGTGGCTTCTCTGTACAAAAGGTTGTAATGCCTCCTGATGGATATAATTTTGTGATTGTATTTAAAAGTTGAATAAATCACACCAGCTTCCTGAAAATGTTCATAATGCATCTTTTGGAAAACAAAAATACATGCCTACTTTGTGCATATTTGCATTAACATGGCAAAGATTGTATGAAATACTTGTTTTTCAGAAAATAAAGGTTCAGTCGCAAAAGATACAGCATTTAAGTTCTGAATTTATTGGTCAAAGTAGATTCTAGAAAACCTGGAACCTTGTGGAACCTGGGTAGCTTTAAAAAACAAAAACAAAAAAAAACAAAACAGGGTCTCCCTGTGTTGCCCAGGCTGATCTTGAACTCCTGGGCTCAAGTTATCCTCCCTCTTTGGTCTCCCAAAGTGCTGGGATTACAGTCCTGAGCCACAGAGCCAAGCCAAGCCAAGCCATGCCATTTTTTTCTGAATAGCATTAATACCTCAAAATAAATAAATAAAAAAAATGAGCCCCACAAGAAAACCCCTAAATTCTCAGAAAAGTAATTATTTTACTCTCAAACTTCTGTTGTATTTTTGAACAGTGGAAATTTTACTTCAATGATAAAATCCTGTTTTAAGGTCCAATTTATAAAGCTTAATTTTGGCAATATTTAACAACAGAATTCCCATAGATCAGTATTGACAGATGCATTCATTGGAGTGTTGAAACCTCTGAAAGAAAATAGAAAATGTCCGGCTTGGCTTTGTATCTTGAAGATTGCATTTGGTGCTGCTTGATGATGTTAGGATTTATGTTAACTGCTTAGTCATCTGGCACATTTCAAAAGATCACATCCTGTCTCTGTAGGAAAAAAACAAAGCTCTAAAGAAAGCTACCTTAAGGGTGGGTGTTTTTAATTATTAGACCAATAGGAAATTTAGTGAGAGACCCTACAGCAGGGCTGTGCATTTGAAAATAGGTATGGGAACACATTATTTGTTAAGTAACAAAAATAAATACTAAGTGAAGAAACTGCTGCTTGAATTGGTTCTGTTTTTTCACCTACCTCCATTCCACATGCTGGTGTTAACAAGTCTTCAGTTGTACGTGGAAAACTTGGGTAAAAATGAGAAGCATATTCTGCGGTAAAACTGTTTTCCCAAAGTAGAAATGCCAGTTTTTGTTGTTTTGTTTTGAGACAGAGTCTTGTTTCGTCGCCAGGCACCAGGCTGGAGTGCAGTGGTGGGATCTTGGCTCACTGCAACCTCTGCCTCCTGGGTTCAAGCAATTCTGTCTCAGCCTCCAGAGCAGGTGGGACTACAGGCACGCGCCACCACACCTAGCTAATGAAATGTCAGCTTTAACTCTAATAACCCCATAGTCTCTCTTTTGGAAGTGGCTATTACTGTAGGTCTAGCAAGATTATGCACCCAGTGTTCAACATGTTCACTAATTATGTGGCTGCAGATTGCCTGGATCTGTCTTTTTTTTTTTTTTTTGAGACAGTTTTTGCACTGTTGCCCAACCTGGAGTGCAGTAGGTGCAGTCAGCTCACTGCAGCCTCAATCTCCTGGGCTCAAGGGATTCCTTTTTTTTTTTTTTTTTTGCAGAGTGAAGAAGAACCTGCTTTTCTCAGACTCCGTATCTTTAAAATCTTTCCAAATAGCGTCTCTGTCAACTGGCTGTATCCTGCCTATAAAACTTCTTTTCCTCAACATTCTCCAGAGTGGCACTTTATTGAACAGTCAGCTTCCCTTGCAAAGGCTTTTATTTTCAAGTGCTTCTCCCTGATTCAGATGCTTCACTCTGCCTCCCCCAAAAGACCCGCAGCAAACCACACCCTTCCATGAAATTCACAATGTCCCTGCCCTTGCCCAGCTCTCTTAGGGTCAGTATGCGGTCTGCAGCTGTGTTCCCTCACATTTATGACTTCTTGAACTTTTAAGAACCTGGTGGTTACTTAAGGAACATTTTAAAAATAAATTTAAATTCAATGGCAGAATACGTAAGAGATTGGAAGTTAAAACCTGGATAAAAGGCTGGAAGTTAAAACTATAGTTAATTCACCTGAAACCTGATCAGGACAACATTTGGCGTGATTCTGTTTGTATCGAAAAATGAAAAATTGGCCGGGCGCGGTGGCTACTGCACTCCAGCCTGGGAAACAGAGTGAGGCTCTGTCTCCAAGAAAAAAAAAACCCACTTCTTACTGCATTTGAAATCCTGGATAGAAAACATGTACAAGTGTCTCGACACAGTTGCTAAACTGCTGACTTCTAATCTAATAGAAGAAAGGTCGTGTCAGAGCTATCCTTTGGGCGGGGCGCGGCAGCTCACGCCTGTAATCCCACCACTTTGAAAGGATAAGGCGGGTGGATCTCGTGAGGTCAGGAGTTTGAGACCAGTCTGGCCAACATGGTGAAACCCCGTCTCTACTAAAATACAAAAATTAGCCGGGCGTGGAGGCGGGAGCCTGTAATTCCGGCTACTCCGGAGGCTGAGGCGTGAGCATCACTTGAACCCAGGAGATGGAGGCTACAGTGAGCAGAGATCGCGCCAGTGTACCCCAGCCTGGGCAGCGGAGCGGGACTCCTCCGTCTCAAAAAAAAAAAAAAAAAAATCCTTTTGGAAAAGGAGCGCGTAGTTTAAGTAACTTAAGCACCCATGTATAATAAGCCACTTAGAGGGCGGTGCATGTTTCACACGTTCTCAAACCAGGCCTGGGTTTTTCCATTAAGGCCTTAATTTCTACTGGGTAGAAGAGAAACATTGCAGCAAAATCTACACAAAGAGCTCTTTTCATTTGTTCTCAAAACCTCACGAGTCGCAAATCGGGGCTAAACGGCTCGGGTGCCTGACGAGGGCACCGGACCGGAGAGGGAGTGGATCCCAGCAGCCTAGGGGCCACGAATAGGTTAAGTGTCGCAGGCCCGGCGTCCCCACCCTCCGCTTCAGGCGGCGTAGCATCTCTCCGGGTAGCCCATTTTTCAGAGAGGCTCCTCGGCTGCGAGAGCCAGACAAAGAGGGTGAGAAAGCGGCCGCGGAGGCCGGAACTGGGGAACCACTGCGGGACAGCGCCCCCTGCGGCGGCCGTTGAACAGCTACCGACTGGCCTGGGTGGGATGTCGCGCAGTCTCTGAACGCTGGTTGGTTACTCCGTGTCCCCTCCCCCTCGGCCCGACACGGCCTCTCTCTCTCCTTCGACCTCGATTTCAAGCCATGCGCTGAACTTCGGTTGGTCCGGCTTCCCTGAGGCGTGAGCTCAGCCTGTCCAATGAGGGAGCGAGTATCGCGGGGGCTGTCGGGAAGGGCAGACGAACTATATAAGCAGTCTGCGGGGCGTTCCCTTGCGCTGTGCTCGCCGTGTGAGTCCTGGTAGCAGGTTTTGCTGGGAAGGTGGCCTGAGCTCACGGAGACAACATCTCAGAGACGATGGCGGAGGGAGATAATCGCAGCACCAACCTGCTGGTGAGTCCTGGTTGCCTGTTCCCCGGGAGCCAAGCGAGGCCGCTGGACGTCCGTGGGCTCCAACACCGCGGCCTCTTCCCTGTCACCCACCGCGGGCCTGTCCCTTCTCTCCTGGCGCAGGCGACAGTGCCTGGCCCTGGGTGTCGACCCCTGACCTTTCCTGGGGACCGTGCTCGACGGAGCGAGGAGGGCGTGTGATTCCTAACCGCCAATAGCGGTCGAGGAGGAAGTGGGAGGCCTGGGGCTGCGACACTAGCCTGGGGTGCCGCAGGGGGCAGAAGGCCTCCTGGGGCCTGGCCAGCGCTTTCGGGGCCCAGGCCCCAGCCGTATTCGGCTTTCCCCGTTTTTGATCTTAACCTGGATATGCTTGCCTTCTTTTCTCCCTAAAACTTGGGCAAGGATGGAAGGTCAAAGGCTACTGCTGAGAATTTCTGTTAGAGCTGGTACAACTTAAAACCGCAGGGAGGCTGCGAGCTCACCGTGGGGAACTGAGAGAGCGGGGTACAGCTGAACAGACAATGGCATGTCTTGGCGTTTGTCTGGAATTTGGAGGTCTGGCGGGGGTGGGGTCAGAGGACGACTGGAAACAACTTGAGAGTAATAAGCGGGGATCCGAAGGAACTGCAGTGAGGTTAGGTATCATAGGCGGATAAATTTCATGTTATGAATTTAAGTGCACCATGTAGGCAGAAAAAAAATATCCTTGCATATTCTCGGTTACCCTTTCCTAGTGACTGCAGGTCACACACCAGCAATGAAAAACGGAACCAAAGAACTTAATTTGGGGCATTTGAACTTCCAAGAGCCCAGATGCTGGCCAGTGACGTGACTTCAGGGCAGTTTTGATTGTGCATGATTTTCACTTTATATTTGCCTTTAGAAATGCTTGCTTTGTTCCTTTAAGCACACGCCTTCTAACATAGTTAGTTCCCAGCATGGTTCCTTTTAAGAGGATTAATTGAAGCACAAAGAAGTTGCTCATGCCCTGTCGAAATGACAAATCCTGGGCTAGAGCTCTTGCTTTGCAGCAGAGCAGTATAACTCTAAGGAAAGCAAAGCCTTTGGTCCTGGGTTTCCTGGATGCAAATAGGTTAACCTCTGTTTATCTGGTTCCTCTTCCGTAAAATGGGGATAGTAATAGCACCTTTTTTCGGGTTGTTGGGAAGATTAATTGAACTATAAATATAAAATGCTCAGCAGAGTTCCCACACGTAGTAACCTCTTCTTTCATAAGTATTAAGCATGGAAATAAAGTAAGAAATACTGAGATCAAAAGAGTGGTCAGAGTGGCACAGATAGAGCGTCTTTGTTAAGATTAAGTGTCTTTGTTAAGATTAAGTGCTTTATTCTGTCATTTGCATGCTTCCCAGTGAATGACATTTATAGAGACAAGGTCTCAGGCCAGGCTAGTCCCAAACTCTTGAGGCTCAAGCAATCCTCCAGTCTCTTCCTCCTAAAGTGCTGGGATTATAGGCGTCAGCCACTGCCTCCAGACTCGTAACACAGACACTTGGATTTCTTATTCTAATTTTTTCTTCCTTTATCAAAACCAGTTTTCAGGGCTTTTGCCACATTAGCTCATCCTAGAGGTCCACTTTCGGCTGTCAGAGTCATAGAGAAATTTGAAGTGTAACCAAAATGACCTCCTAAGTGGTAGGAAACACTGTACTGAGGAGATAAATTGAGCCTAAAATGCCACTTTAATTTAGTGAAAGTAGTTTTCCTTAATTGTGCAATGGATGCCAACATCTGAGTGATTCCATTACACAAAGAGCTATTTTAGAAATTGAATGCTGTTCAGGGAAAGTCTCTCCTAATGGACTTAGAAGGGTTTAAATCAATAAGATGACAAAA